GATCCAAAGGAAGGGCCCGGGGGGCCCGCCCCCCTCCTTATCTCAGGGTCTGGATGACCGACAGCCAACCCATCTCTCACAGTCTATCTAAATGCGTTAAATAAGGCTTAGGCACTGGGTTGATCAACAGTTACAGGCGCACGGCACTAAAAGTGAGCAATCTAATTTATCGTTTTCTAACTTGTATGCAATTCTGCTTAAGTATATTCCAGACCCTCGCTTGCTTATAAATCCGGAATAATCTCGTAAAAAAAGTTTCAAAAGTGCGCGCCAAGTTGAACATTCTCTATTAAGTTACACTGTAGGCTCTCCTTCTCAATTAAGCCCCCACCCCCCTCTCTTTGAGCTTTCCTCCTCCTCAATAGTGTTTAAAATTAATGAACCCCCAGGGAACATAGTAGAGGATTTCAGGAATATATACGAGATCTCTTACCGTTCAGTTCAGCGGCTCTTTCGTCGGCTGACAATATTAAGCTGCCAACAGCCCAAAAGACAGACGCAGCTGCTCTCCCACCGCAAAACTCCTCATCATTTATGGCACAGCGAATATTGCATGCTTCTTTTGGTAATCTCTCCAACTGCAAGTACTCCGGTTCATTCAAGCATGCGCACTGACTTCCGTTGTGAAGTGTAGCGTATTTGTAGTTCCTTTCGTGGCAGAGTATCATACACGAGCGAATACTGACATCACGCCATACCTCACTTTCATTAGACGAAAGGTAACCATGAACTTTAAAACAGCCCTTGAAATCTGCAAGCAAGGAATGGTAAAAATTCACTAAAATATTGTACCGTGCACGATATGCGCACTATCATAAAAAAAAAATATATTTAGAGTCTTCATAGCCAACAACATCACGACTTAATTGTCAGACGACCAATAACATCGCGACCTCATTGACCAATCAGGTCAATAACCAGAGTTTTAATACCATCAACTGACGTGATAAAACGCATTTGACACTGAAAATTACTACCGCACGGGTTGTCGAAACGTCTGTCACTGTCAACAACAACAGTCCTATTCAGGACTAAGGTCACCAAAACGATCATACTTAACCTACTTATCATATAAAAACTTAGAATTCATTGCATTTTATTATAAACTGTTCGGGCTCTTTAAGTCTCATCAGTTTATTCTTTACAACATCTCAAACGGCTGATTGAACAAAATATTTTCAAAAAATTATTTACACAGGAAAAAATACAGCTAACGAAGAAAAAACAGCAAAGAATACGGTAAAGCAAAGTTAAGTCTACTCACAGATATCTTCTCCGTAAAAATTGTGGATGAAAACGCAAAATAGCTTAGATCCGTCCGATGCAGAACGTGATTTTAGCCCTTTCCTCTTTTACCTCAAAACCGTTAACTTTCTTAATATATGCACCCGAGAAAAAAAACAGACATCCCAAAGGCGCACTGCTAACAATGGATTATAAACGCCGGATAGTAATTTATTCAACAACATTCACATTCATACTCAGTTGTATTAGGGTATGAGGACAAGGACAGCTTGACCTAGGGAAAGTTAGCAGTACGACCCATGCGATTTTCTGGGTCGGCCGTTAACCTCACGTGAGGTTCCGCTAAAAAATGTTCAAGAATAAATGATTTCCAGGCCAAATTTGAGTATTTATATCAACAGTTCTGCTATCGCACGTGGAACTATTTGACAGGCCACGAAAAACCTGTTAATCATGTGTATTTCATCTTTGCATATAATAAGAATTCAACGTTAGCTTCTTTCTAACTTGAATAAGAGGAAACTCACTTTCTAGTGAAACGAAGAACGTCGAGGCGCCGCAAGCAGAAGAGGAAAAATTAAACTAATCACAATCAGTTGCAATAAGCATTGAGATTGGTTTAGTCTCTCACTTCAGCCTGCGACCCTGTTACAAGCCCCCCTCCCCCATTCCCTCCCCCACTTTCCCTCCCCCCTGGCTATATGTTTGTATCTGTATTAGTGTTAGCATGTTATGTTATGTTATGTTCCGGTTGCAGATTAAGAGTTTTGAATTCTTTTCTTGTAGTAAAAAAAAAGCACGTTCCGTTATTAGTTTCTTTCGAGACGATTTTAAAGTCCCGGATGTAAGCCCACCCAAAAACCCAAACTAAATTGTATGCTCCAGGGCACATAGGTGGGATTTCACGGGTAGGTTGCTTCTTACATTGATCGACGATGAAGTACAGAGGTCTGTTGAGGTCCTTTTGTAAAAAGCTATCAGCCGCCTCCACATTTAAAGCGCCCATGTTTGGCCATCCTATCTTAAACATCCATTGACCTGAATAAAACACGTTGGATTTTGTGGCTAGCAATTTCACATCCCTTGTTCCTGATCCGGGTAGCAAATAAGACCTATTGAAATTAAAAGGAAACATTCACTATTTTCAAGACTCCGAACGAGCGTACAGCGCGAGTGGGGAATGATGGGAACGAGACAGAGCGCCAGTGGGGGAAGTCGGGAATGACCAACACCAAGAGAGGAGAATGGGACAGAGATGGAAACGCCCTATTTAGTGCTTGGTAATAGAGAGAAGTGTGTCGTCAGGTTACCATGGTAGCAACATTTCTGGATCACAACAATAAGGAGCTGAAGCAACAACGACGGCGACAGCAACGAGAACGGCAAAAAAGCAATCGGTTTATATTATTATTTTAAAACAACAACTTTGCACGTGCATCACGCTTTTTTGTACATTTCTTAGCCATCGTTGCATGTCCGCGACTTGAAACTTCCTAATTTCACGCGCCCGCTTTGTGAAGTTGGTGAACACAGCACAATAATTTTCTTCTTCTTTTGAACTCAGATACGGTCCTTTCGGATTCAACCCCAGACAATTTCGCCAAGATTTTACAAATTTAAAGAAACTTAATAAGATCAATGAAGTTTAAAACAGGGCGAATTCATTTTTTAAGTGACGTCTTCGCTTTGTTGTCATCCAGAAATTTTGCTCCCACGGCAACGTGACGTAACTACTTTTCCCTCTCTATTGTACCCGTAAAGTTCCGAAAGTAATGACCCTCGGTAATTCCGGAGGTTCGCTATTTTCGGAGGGTCGTTACTTTCGGATGGCTAAAACGTGTACTCCACATGTAAGGGCACTTAAAGAAATATAATCCAAAAAAATGTGAAAGAAATACTTTTTGAAAAAAAGTAATGAACATTCTCTACTTTAAGAGTTATGAATAGGATTGTCAAGTAATGATTACTAATTAACCTCGGATCAGTGTGGCATTTGTCCAGGATATCTATCATCCGTTATTTTTCGCAAAAAGAGAAATAAGTTTTGTGGTCTCTACTTTCGGAGGGTCGTTATTCTCGGGCGATTGCTACTTTCAGGATTTGCAAACACCTGTGACATTTTCAAGTTATCGCTACTTTCGGAGGTTCGCTACTTTCGAGGGGTCGTTACTTTCAGATTTTAGGGTATTCAAAAAAGTTGTTTTTAGACCAATTAAACGATTGGCTTAATCGGAAGTTGGTTTCCGGAGAGGTTCTCAAACTTTTATGTAGTGTTGCCAAGAAAGAATTTAACAGTCGCCATTACAGTATTCTGCCTGTTTTTGCTTTCAGGCAGATCAAAATTTGAGGATGTCCTAGGAATATCCATTTAGACATCCGTTTAATTACAACCTCTAAAAATATTTGTAGTGAAATTAACATATCCCGACCAACACATAAAGATCTTGAGAATAGCTAATGGAACGATTAACATATAAATCAATTGTCTTGATTTTCAGCAAAATTCTCGTTGTAAGTACTGTAAGAAATATAGGGAGAACGTTCAAGGACCGGGTTGTTCAAAGCCGGGTTAAGATTACCCAGGGTTAGTCGGAAATTTGAATTCAGATATGGAAGCTAATTGTTTTTGTCTGCAGTTTGATGACTGGATGCTCTACAAAGAATAGAGAAAATCATCGAAGAAAATGCTTCGGGAAAAAAGAAAAAGGAATCCGAATTAAATTCAACCACAGTTTAGCGCCAATCAGCTTTCGAACGACTGGGCCCAGGAGAATACGTCTGATTATAATTTTATTTTATAATTTTATTTTTAAAGGATCTCACAGGCATTACGCATGCCCATATTTTTCCTCCAAAGAAAAGTTGAGGAAAATAATCGCAAGAACCTCTTTATTTTCCCAGACTTTAGAGCTTCAATACTTCTCCACGTTTCCTTTTGGGGAGCATGTACTTCCTGCTACGTATCGTTGTTAACATTTTCACGAAGCCTCCTACAGCAGGCTTGATCTCAGAATATGAAGCTCAAACAACGACCACGGTGATGGCAACGAGAATATCAGTCAAAAACGAAATAGATTTAAATGAGCACAACAACAACTTTGCATGGGCATCACGCTTTTTGTTAACTTCCTTGCTTTCAGTTATTGTAGAACTACGACTTGAAACATACTAATTCAACGTTTCAGCGTGCAAAGAAAGTAGTGTCCGGTAGTCCGGGGCCAGTGGATTTTGCTATCGGGCTAGTGAATTTTGTTTTTAACTTGCCCGACGGGCAAATGATGTGTTTGAGGAATTCGAATAACAAGGACTGTGAAATCAATTCTGCTCATCAAAAGGGCTTTTGGGGCTAGTTGAAATGACGTCTGGGCTAGTACATGCTAGCTTCAGCTTGCCCGAATGGCAAGCTGTAAAAATGATTTTCTTTGGACCCTGCGTTTTATGGTGGATGTTAACACGAGAAAATGACGTTCGTTTCTCTTTCTGAACTCAGATACGTAACTTCACAATGAAACCTTTGCCATTTTTTGACCAGTAGAAAGAGTTGAAATAACAGCAATGACGTTTAAAAAAACAAAGAAAATTCACTTTTTACGTGACGTTTTTGCCGCCGTCGTCCTCTGGTTGCTTGAGCTCCCCATTTTTTTTTCTTTCAACAACAACCAGGCCGTAATGAATTATTTTCCTTTCGCTTGCATCAGCGCACCTGATGTGAGGAGGCACATTCAAACATGGTTTCAAACACAGTGGAGACTTCCTTACCTTACTTGGTCACCAGCACTAAAGCCGACTTGTGCGTCGAAAAATCTGAAGCCCTGATACTGAACATGGTATCCTTTTATCCACTGCAAGCCATTGTCTTTGTAGTTGAACAAGCTGAATGTTCTTTGTCCGTCTGTTATAAGCACTACTTGAAAAGTGTTACTCTAGGAGATTAAATTATCTCTTGTTAACGGGCTTTTCATCACCAAGGGAGAGATACAAGCCCTCAAACGATGAAAAAAACCTTTTAAACTACTTCGAAACAATCATTACCCTGCGTACAAGCAACTTTTTATGCGCGGAATTCTAGGGTGCTTGGTATCGAAAGTCCGGCTAACTTTTCTGGCCCGGAAAGCTGTCAATAATTTACAATAATTTCGAAAACGATGCAATGTAACTTACAGTTAACGAAGCTAAATTGACTGGTTTGTAAGCTAGGAACTGCGCAACCATCCAACAGGTTTTGATTTTAAAATTTGCCTTTGTGCCCGAAACGTTTCCAGGCCTTTCGAGAGACAAGCCCAGTTTCGGTCAAGTCTCTCGCCAAAAACAACACTCTCTGGTACCCTGTGATAAGGTTGTTATGTTCATGGTAAAATCATTCCTGTCTTGAGTTTTTTGACATTGTCTCTGGTCTTTATATTATCAGCTCATCTACGACAAAGACCTACGAACAGCGATGACTAATGAGAATAGGTTGGTCGACTTGTCGTACTCTTCAGTTTACCGGGAAGGGCTTTTACTTCCACTTTCCTCGTAGCCTCGCAAGCAGACGTTCTTTTGGCTCGTTACGTTACCCTCCCCTTTATGTGAAAGTAACTCGTGACGAAGAACGTCTGCATGGGAGGCTACTATTGTCGCATAAAAAGCGCTTATATTCTCTGGGTTGTTTTCAGATTGTGAATTCAAAATTAAAGTTGATCTCTCAAAGCTAACACGTTTCAAACATTTCAGTGTACTGTGACCCTTACAAAGTAACAAACAAAATGGCACCATATCGCATCCCACAATTTCATAGCCTAAAAACATGGACAGAAAACAATGTTTGTTTTGTTTGTTTGTTTGCTTGCTTTGTTTTGTTTTGTTCTGTTTTTTTTGTTTACGTTATCTGCGCACAGTGTACTAAGTGAGGGCTACGAATGCTGCACCCCGGCTCTGAAGTGTACGATTATTACATGACTTCTCGCCTCTTCAAGCATGTGCCGAGGGATAAAAGGTGGTCTCGCAGGCACTGCCCTCAAATGAAGCGTAAAAGTCCCAGAACCTTTGTGGCAAGCGCTTAGCCTTAATCAACTTGAGTGTCTAAAACGACCCCTTACGATACCTTGCTAGGAAGCCTGTTATCAGCGTGGATCACATTCTTCCACGTGGCGATAAAAACACTGGACGCCACAAAATCTTGTTCCCGGGTAAAACTCCATCTCACGTGATCTGTTGCCTTCTTTAAGACGCTTTCGTTCCTAGTTTCTCTGTGAAATACTTCACTGAGTTTTCCAACTTCAATTGGTGCGTAGAAAACAGCAACAGAAGGCGTGTTGGGTGGAAATGGAAACTTTCTGTGTTTCAATGCAGTGTGCGAGAGAGAGCTTTTTCCAAGGGTGATAATGCCATCACCATACACCTGAAAACCGAAGAACCAACTGTTAAAATCATCTAGCAAAGAAATACTCTTTTAATTGTTTTTATTACATGTATGGTAAATGTTGGCTTTAGTCATAAAACAAAATTTGCAATATTTGGTTCTGTCGATCGTTTCCCGTGAGACTGCAATAAAGAGTTGAGATTTCGGTTCCTGTAACAGTAACGAATGCCAACTGCACGCAAGAGACTGCACGTTATTTCGAATACCTTGAGAGTTTGAATAAAGACTAGAACATTTTCTCCCTGGATTTGTATGCAACAGTGTATGGAGAAAAACAGAAGATCCAAAAATTCATAATCATATAAAACAAAAATTCACCAACGTGCCTCTTGTCGCTGGCTTTTAGTATGCAACAAACTAAAGAAGACATCTTTCTTAATTATCCTCTACAACCTAAAAGTCAAGACATAGATGATAGAATATGCCTAGAATGCAGTCTTATTAACCTCATTTTACCTCTTTCGTTTTTAATGGAACCAGGGTCAAGTATTTACAAATAAACTAAACACGCCTTGTTTGCTCAGTGGATTTATCAGCTCAAAATCCTTCGCATATTTTGTCGAACATTACAACTCACGTTTCAATACCAAATGTATATGTTGTGGTTCAATCCTATTCTTGGTTTAAATCATTTTCTTCTCCTTTGTTTTGGGTAGAACAAAGGGACGTAAAATTTAAACCAAGGAAATTGAACCATAACAGAATAACTTTTCCGACCCAACCGCGGTTGACAAGAACCCATTTTCCTAATGAACTATAAACAAAACGTTCTTGAAAGGAATGCATAATGTAAATTCCATCAACGGAGAGACTTTTTACCTCGTGCTGGAGTGTTTCTCTGCCATATAATACTTTTAATTCCCAGAGAGAACCATGTCTCGTGCTGAAGAGTTTAAGTCTAACGTTTGAGTCTGTGAACAAAATCCTATAGTGTGAAAACTCACCGAGTGTGCGCTCTGGCAGTAAATTCACCCTCCTTAAATTCTGAAAGGGTTACTTTTGACAAAATAAACTGGGCGACTCATCCGAACAGATTATATACAATTTAAATAAACATTACTTACCTTATCCTTGCGTGGAATTTGTTTTCTTTGGCGGCCATTTTGAATGTTGCGGTCGGCTGGTCCGAGGCCTGGAAACAAGAAATATTTGGGGTCTGGAGACCGGTCTGGAACAGTTCTTATCAAAATGGCCGCCAAAGAAAACAGATTCCACACGTTGATAAAGTGCCATAAGTAATCTTTTAAAACGTCATAGACAACAAAAATGGTAAAAGAAAGCGCCTCCTTTGGGAAAAGACTGTAAACCAAAGGCTAACAAAGAAATCCTAAAAGGAGAGGAGACAGCACTACGCATATCGCCAGCCGAGTTAAATACTTCTGCTACCCCAACAATCTAACAGATATTTTTTTCTCTAGGTCTTCAATCCTGGCAAACTGAAGAAGAAGGCGGAGCCAGACACTCTTTCAATGGGATAAAAGGAGTACGAGGGATAGATCATTCAGCTGATCGAGAGTTCATCACTGGACGGATTCCGATATGAAAATACACATACAGAGAGATGCCTCCATCGATATCGAAGGCACTAAAGCGCTTATGCCCGCTGAAGACTGTATGTCGGACAGTGTTGCCGATGCTGCAGTGCCTAAAGTAAAATAATGGTAAATTATTGGCATTTCGCCCCGTGGAAGGGAATCTGGATTCCGAGGTCGGGGAGATTTTGCCTGTAGAATCCGGAATCCGGGAAATTTTGCTTCTGGAAAGTGGAATTCTGGGCTTTGGAATCCGGAATATAGCGTAAGGAATCCAGAATCCCACTAACGATTGAAATCCAGAATCCAAGTTCCACTAACAAAGACTGGAATCTAATACCTGGAATCCGGAATCCATGGCGTAGAAACCACAATCCAAGACTGTCTTGGATTTCCTTACATGGGGCAAGGCAGCTACTCTTTTTATTACGGAATAAGGTCTATATACTGCGCCTTGAATTGAGTAAGAAAACCAAGTACAGGATCACTTTTCTTCTTGAAACTTATTCTCATTCAGTTGGGTAGAAAAGACAGAGTGCGGAGACAACTTTTTCACGTCTCATAACGTACACGTTACGAAAAAAAACCTTAAACATCGTGAAAGATTCCCGGGGAAAGATTCCAGAGAGCCATGAAAGCCCGTGAAAGATGAGCATTCCCATGCGTTTGCTCTTTTCGTTAAGTTAAGTGAGATTTCTTTTGCTGAGAAGTAGAAACAACCGGAGGACTTTAATATCATTTATAGTTATAGCGACCTTAAGATTCGAGAACGATAACGACTTCACTACGTGAACGAGATTTGAATTAAAGTTTTTTGACGTATGCTCAAAACATAGGGGCAATCTGGGAAAGCCTCATGTTACTTTTTTCACCAGAAAAGTTAACACTGTTATTTCACTGAAGGAGGTAGCAGCCGATTTGCCTCATGATGGAGATAATAATAAGCTTTCTCCCCATCGAAAAATAGTAAAACTTTTAACATTTCATAACTTGTTTCCGTCACTTCTGTGACATTTTCGCTAATACCAGAAGTAGAATGAGGACGGCCCTCGCGTTTTCCCGCCAAAATGACGCGGGTTCGCACGTGTGCACTACTAAGTATTGAGGAAATCTCATTCTCGTAGTCATCCTCGTCTTAGAATCGAAAGGTCTCTTATTCTTCACACATTTTTTACAACACTCCTCGTCCTTTTCGAGACTTTGCACTTTGTTTAAAGCTTTTCACTGGGTTATATTCCACCTTATCGATCAAAGGGAATCGGCAAACGACTGCCAGACCGCATTTCCGCCAAAACAGACCACCCACCAGCAACAGAGCTAAAGTCAATTGACGATTAACTGATGTCGGGTTGTATTCGAGAAATACGTACCCCCAGCATTTTTCAGTGATAAAAATGTTGCGTTTTTTAGATAACGTCAAATCTGTCATAATTTGGGTTTTCGCATTTTTTGTAAATGGATGTTTAAGCTCAAGTTGTCATAATTCATGATAATTGTGATAACAGAGGATTGTTGGAATTGCAATTGTATAAAAGATAGGTGAAAGGTTGTTATCCATCACACTTGCGAAATTTGCTATGGGTACGGTGATAGTGTCTTTTTAGATGAGGATGTTGAATCGCAAGTTCGAGGGGCAACCATTAAAGTTTTCAAAGAAAGAAAAACCAAGCAGGCAAAATTAATAGTCACTTTTTTACAAAAATGCAGATACGAGCCTTGGATACGAGCCGTTTTGCAATGTTTGATTTTCCACTTAAACGTTTGACGGCTTGTCAAAGAAAGACTGAATGGTATTACAGCAATCTTTAACACAAAACAGCTCTTTAGAAACACAAGCGCAAGAAAACTAAGCTCCTTTAGAGCGAAATAGAATTAGTTAAAGCCAACGACTTAAACTACACATAACGATAATTAAGGAGAATTGTGAGACAATTGGCTCGAAGATAAGCCCTCATAAGCCGAGTAAATGATTTGCACATGGTGAGAGTCAAACCTGCAAAACACATGACACTTTTCCAAAATTGTCTTTATGGTGTAACTCGAAATACCTGAAATCAAAATTCTTGAGCATAAACTATCATCTTAATAGCATTAGTGTTTTTCAGGCTGTTATTCGTGCAAATGATCAGTGAACGGATTTACCTGAAGCTGTTTGTGGCCTGTATTGTAAAATGAGTAGGTACCATTGAGCATAAGCACTTTTCCAAAAGCATGTTTTCTGGCAGGCAATTTCAAATCACCAGCACTTTCACCAAAAGGAAAGAAATCCTCGTCGCTAACACAGTTAGCAAACGCCAAAATCTGCAAGAAAATCCACCCTACAAACATGATCTCTACGCCCTGCATGGATCTCGGCTTTCCACAGACTCAAGCGATTGAGGGTGTTGTATCAATGAAAGCGCGCGCGGCGATTGTGTAAAAAGATACCCGATCGCTTATACAGCGTGTTGACTGAAACGCAGGAGGTGTATTGTTTGTGTACAATCAACTTGACAAGACACAAACAATCCAAAAGTCATTAGTCCATTGACGGCTGATTTCAAATGAAGTCGGAGTTATCAAAGCAGCCAAATGGAAATTAATTTCGTCTCGGAATGCTAGCTAAACAAGGTGAGAGATTGTCAGAGATTTGTCGCATTTTGATAGAGGACTTTTTGACGTACTGAAGACCTTTTCCGGGTAGCTGTCGCTAATATGGAAAGGACGAACGATCTTTGGGGCTGAATATACTCAAAGCTAAAAAAAGGTTGCGTGAATGCCATGATAATGAAACAATACAAGCTATCTTCTGTTCTGGCTTGTCACCTTTCCTTTTGCGGTCTCGTAGTTTCCGGTTGATGTTTCTTTTCGCAAAGGCGAGATGATATACGAATAAATTACAAGATTTCTGCGACCGAAACTTAGCGTCTTGAAATAATCGGATTACGAGTAAGAGGGCCTCCAAAGTTGTAAAAAGTAGTCAAAGAAGTATTTAACCCCTCATTCACAGGCTTTAACCTAACAGTTAGAGCAGGCACAATCCGTTGAGCAAAACACAATCGTTTTCACTGTTTTCACTCTGGCTAAAAATGTCAAACAGACAAGCGTACCTAGCAGTACCTAGAGAAGATTCTCGAACATTTGCAGGACTTTGCTGATACAAATGGATTTCACTAAAACCCAAAATGCCTTCCTTGACTTCTGCTTATCGCCAATGTCTTCTTTCCAAAAGTTTATCAAAGAATGTATATGTTTATTTTCTATTTTTTCAAATTGTGAAATTTGTGAATAGGTCAAAGGCAACATAAATTTGGGCAGTCACGTAAACAGTAAATCCTCCTTTCCTTTGACTCAGTCTTGTTGATGTGAGAACATCACATACATCCGGGATGATTTCCTGTAAAGGAAACCGAGAGTTTCAGTTGACTCACAGCAAGGGTTTGATTCAAACAAAATTAAAGAAATACTCGTCTGCAGGACTCCTTCCTTATCCCGCGCAGACTTCTATCCGGGGGGAATAGGGTGTAATGACAAGGAAAGGCTAAGTCAATAAAGAAGAGGGTTGATGTCGGACCCGGGGGGGTACTGCTATATATGAGCTATATAGGTATGTGCCGCTTTGAAGGGTATGGTTTTCAAGCAGTTTAATCTAGGATAGGGTATATAAATCAGAGCGTTTGGGTCGAGAATAGGGTATCATTTTTCAGGAAACTGATCAGTTGGTTAAAGATTTTATCTAGACAAGGGAAACAGCTACTCTAGGATAGGGGGATTTGGGGAGTTTACTCTAGTATAGGATAGCAAAATTCAGCTGAACTAGCTCTGGTATAGGCTAAGGGTTCCAGGGTCCCAGCGGCACATCCCCACCCAGAAATTCCTAAAGTACCCCTCCGGGATGTCGGACTCCGGGCGACGGACACTCCTTCTAAGAGGGTGTGTGCCGTCTAACAGGGTAAACCGTTTCACTATGTGCGTCTTGAATAGGGCGTTTGCCTGTACCAGAAGCCTTGGACAAGCTGTGAAAGTTAGTGTAGGCTGTGGATGTGAACAGACCTCCCTCTCCCCTTCTACGATTTTTGCTGAGGGAAGGGGGGGGGGCGTCTGTACACAAGTCAACGTTAGTGGTGCACGGTCTACGTACAGCTGTGGTATCAAATTTCAGAAACCAGATTCCTCGCAGCACTCTCCTACCTAGCCTGCGTGGCAGGCGTTTAAAAGGGAGGGGAAAGGGAGTTTTAGGCGCGAGAGAAAAGCGAGGGACGCAGGCCATCTCCTACCCAAACATCAATTAAGTGTCCTCCCTCGGATACCGGCTGTACTGTCCCTGTTTTGCATTTTAGGGGAAATCAACAATTTGACGTTTAGATTTGAGTACATATATTAAAGACAAATTGTGCCATTCTTTGATCATCAGTGACATTTTGTTATTCAATTCTGTGTTTCCTGGACAGGTTTTCTCTCAGGAAACCCTCAGTACGCTTTCTTTCATGCAGCCGCTGACCCTGACCGGTCTTCCAAAGTCTCCAAAAAGGTTTCTCTTCATGTGGAATGCGCGTGCCCCGTTGAGATTACGCGCTGGAAATTTCTGAGCATGCTGTTTCATCCAAGACAGAGTTAAACATTTTAACAAGACAGCAAAAAACAAAAGCGACTTGAATTTTCCCGAGTTGGGGTCCCCGGTGCTGTTCGTTTTCTAGGGCATACGCGACATTTTGGATCAGGCGTGTCTTCGAATGCGGCCTTTTTCAATACTTTCGCGGTGGTATTAGCGACAAATTGAACACTGCCGAAACCATAATTCTGAGGTAAGTCAGGGGAAAAGGCTCTCTTTGCTTGATACACGTTAAAATCTTGTCACACTGGGCAATTCTTTCAGTTTTCTGTTTTGCATCTTGTCTAACTAGCTACGAACCAAAACGAGTTAAACGGTGTGGTACTTGTTCCCTTTCTCCAGGTCATGCGCGTCTTATTTTCGCTTCGCTTCTTTAAATTCGCTACCTTCCATCCATCTGAAACCGTAACACCGTCTATTTCATACACTGTATTCATAGTCACTTTTGTCTTTCAAATTTAGTCAGAGATGATACCATATTCCTCACGTTGTGGGAAAATTCTAAAATTAACGGTTCACTTACATGAGAACAAAACTCAGTCTTACGACTGTGTCGGGTTTTAAGCTAATCAACGTGATTGAGTTCTTGAACAGCCTTGAATCATTGCTGAGGGCGCTTTGTTTTTACTGCGTACATTATTGATTGTCAAGAGCCACTATGGCGGCTTGTGATTGTTTAACCTGGCCAGATGCCTTTTTTTTTTAATTTTTTTTTGGAGGGGGGACTTTCTTACTTAATACATGAATAAACTACTGTTTCATTGCAATTACCCCATTTAATTTAGCTTGAATTCTAAACCGCGAATGATGCCTTATTTACCTGGTATCAAATGAACCCAAAATTTCAATTGTGCACCTCAGTGTATTCAATTTCTTTGCAGAGCGGAAAATTTCCTCAGCTGTGGCCTTAATTGAAATCAAAGCTCTTTATCTTTACTATGTATTTTATATTAAATTTCATTCATTTCTCCGTTTGGTAATGAAACTCTAACGAAAGATTTCAGGACCAAGATCCAATTAACCAAGATCTGACTTTAAAGTATCGAAAAAAGAAAAAAATCCCACTATTCTCTTACTCAGATGCGAAAGAAAACAAACACTAGTCTTCTTTGCTCTCTTAAGATTTTTGGCCAATTTTTGACGCTCTTGTTTCCTTGTGAGAAAAAAGGTAAATAGGCTAGTAACTCATCCGCGTTTTATAACAAAGTTTCAGGCAAATCTCTTTGTTGAAGAGAGTTTTAGTTTATTTATGATGAATTGACCCTGAATAAGTGGGAAAAGCCTCGAACACCTTATTTGCCGTTAAAAGAACACTGTACATATTATGACGGCAAGACTGGCATTTTCTGTGTTAATTATATACAAAAAGAAATCGCAGCTGCGTCTCTTAAGATTTTGCATCAGGTGATTTCTGACACCTCTCAAACGACTCACCGTCAGAACAATAATTCCGTTTATAAGAATTATCTTGTGATTCTTCCTGTTTAGCGAAAAAAAAAAACAAGGATCTCTAGCGTGACCTTACATTCACAAGATGTTAATCAAAAGTTAGCGAACAAGAAAGACCCGAGAAAAAGGTGGGAAACCTTATATATTTATTTTTAAGCTTTTCCGCTCATTTCAGCAACCTTTTCGTTTATTGTTTTGTTTTGTTCTTCTAATCCTTTTTATAATTATTATTACTTGAGGAATAGTACTTATTCATATTGCTGCAAGAAAATCGACGATCTCGCGCGCTCATCAGTATTTTTTTTTAAAACATAGGTCTTGCGCGCGTACGCGATCCGAGACTTGATTAATTTTTCCGCTACTTTGTTTAACCAGGAACTAAAAATCTTAAGATCTCAATTTCCTAAGAGATTAGTTTACAGTACACAAACGGAAACTGTATATCATGACGTCCTTAGTTGAGCTCTACACGACTACTTTTCAAGCACCTTATCAACGACCAAACTGCAAGTCAAGAGTATGGAACGTCAAAAGTACGCCCGGTTAGGCTAAGTTTGGGATGGCCCACAAAAACCAGGGGCACCCAACGGCAATTTTCGGGAAAATATCTGTTCGGAAGACGATTTGAGAACTAGAATTTTCGGAACATTTGTTGTAAAATTTCTTGCTTGCCTGTCTCTCCTAGGATTTTCGAACATCTACAAAATGGTATAATTACCCATTTTAAACGGATATTTACCCTAAAAAAGAATTTTCGGGAGCCTTTTTGGCTGAAATTTTGGAAGGTAAGTTTTGATCCCTATAATTTTCGGATCAAAAGTTTTTAGGGGATAAAAATATGCCTATATCTACCGTTTAAATACTAAAATACGCTCAACAATGCAATGATAAGTGGTTTTGAACTATATCCTTCGTTGGGTGCCCCTGAAAAACCCGTAAACATATCTTTTATTTTAGATTCTTAAGTAGTTGTTCGTGTACTGTAAGCGCCGCGAAAAAATCACTGGACTGTAGTTTAGACTGCCTTGCTCAGTTAAACATCATGCAGTCGAAGCCCTCCTTGCAACCACTCTCGTAAGCGACCGAGCTGTAGCTATGACCACCTTTGTGAAACCACGTTTGAACTGTGATTTAATCTTTGTAATGAAAAGCTCTCGTAAGCGACCGCTCCCGTAAGCGATCGCGACCACTCTTGGGATTATCCAACTTGACTTTTCCTTTGTTTTTTTTAGCTCTCGCGAGCGACCACTCAGAGACTTATTCATATAAATGAAGACTTACATGAAACTGTACACTGCGTTAATGCAGTCGAACCTCCGGGCCGTGAACAACCACTCAAAATGCAAAGACTTAGTGGTCGCTTACGAGAATCGAACCGCAGGGAGCCTTTTCCGAGAAGCAATCCTGGGCACATCTACTTTATGGAAGATAATTTGTTGCATATAATGTCTAAGTTACGCCATGTGTAGTTCCATGTTGTTACTAAAGTTCTTCGTATATTCAAAGGAGAACAGTGCAAACAGCGAACATAGAGATCAGAGAATGCGTCAAGTGGTCGCTTACAAGGGGTTAAAAACAATGGAAAATTATATATTAAACTTAATTTCAGGCCCAAAAAGTGGTCGCGGTCGCTTATAGGAGGTGGTCGTTAACTAGAGGTTCCAACTGTAAGGCTTTTACTGGGAAAGGTTTGGTGTTTTGGATGAGTGATCGCTTATAGGAGGTGGTCGCTTACGAGAGGTTGTCGCACAGGGAGGTTCGACTGTAGTTCGTTGATAAAGATATTGGGCCAGTTATATCAGATTTAAAGACACTCCGATTAAACGTTAACCTCTTCTTTTTTTTTCTTTATGAATTATTAATGAGTTTCTAAAGCTCTTGTAAGCGACCACCTCTGTTGTTTTCTGATCATGCAGTCGCTTACGAGCGAGTTCCGACCACTTTTTCGAGTTTCCGAGGAGGTCGCTTACGAGAGCTTCGTCGACTGTGCTAGAAACATGACATCCCTCGATCTAAGTTATATGCACATCACATCATAATATAGCATTATAATTTTACGTTAGGCAATTTCCCGATTTTTATGATTCATATATTTTATTATTATTATTTATTATTATTATTATTATTATTATTTAACCGTGCGAGGCCAGCTAATGCCTGTTTTTCTTTTGGTAGCTTTTACGGTTTATTTTGCCCGCAAATCCTTACCTTGTGCTATAGAAATGGTGATTGGCTTTTCAAAATTACAAGAAATTAAAGCACGGAAACTTTGAACATCTCAGGACTGTAAAGAACTCAACTATTCATCCCCCCGGCCCCACCAAAAAAAATAATATTTGGCGAGTTACAGTTCAATCAGTTTTGTTTCTGTACGCTCGTGACAGGTGATAAAGGGAACGCCGCTTCCTTGCATAAATTAAATTAATTCATTTTACGCAGTAATCCTCTCTTTTTCTGTTTGCGTCGGGATGTTTGAACATATTGGTTCAACGAAATCGTTATAATTTGCCTTCGGCTTGAATTTAAGACTTACTGACTGATACGTGGACAGTTACCCTGTTCTATAACTCAATGTTCATCGTTCCAAAGTCTCAAACTGAGGCCTCTGGTTGTCAAGGAAGGTATACTGCGCGTCCGCAGGATATCAGGATATGATGAAACTATTATTGAGTGTGGCAGAGGTTATGAATTACACCAAACGTATCATTAGCAAAGTCTCGAACTCTGAGAAAAAGTCCTACTTTTTAAAGTGGAATGAAGTGTCTGTCATTTTGTGTGAATGACAAATAGAGATCTAAACGCGCTTTTTTAAAAAGGTCACATTACAGGAAAACAGTAATCTAACAGAAAACAAAAGTATTTCGTTAAATAGTTCATAGCTGTCAACGTGCTTTCACAAAAAATGAGCTAACTGACATTGGGATATGCCAAGCAGTTGGGTTATCTGTCTAAACTGTCTTGTTCCTTGCACACTGGCGTGTTTTTTTTTTTAGTTATTTAGGTGATTTTTGGGGAGTGTTTGCAGATTGCATTCGTTGTTACTATACAATGTCCTCAACGGTTAATTTTGCTTATTAAATCATCTATTTCCTTTGTTTAGCTGACAGGTGTCATGAAGGCCGAAATCTACCTATTTACTATAATCCTCTCAGCAAGGGTAGGGAAGGCTGAGTTTGCCAGTCCCGCCTGCAGAACAGGATTATATCAAGCATCTGAAAAAGGCAAGTTTATGGCGGTGTTTTATCTCGAACTTGCACTCAGTGTATGTTATTTTAGTATGGGTTTATTGGTATCAAGAGAGAATAATTGGTAATTTTGTAATTTGTTTGATTACATTAGATAAAGAAACATGTACAGTCTTTTCCTAACTAAGGCAGGCGTACCTCTATAAATTCAGGGTCGGATGAATCAACAATCATTTATTTTAACACGTTACATCGAGAAGCTAAGAAACTCGTTCAAAATACGGTCGAGTATAAATAAAATCTATAATTATTACAGCTATGATATAATATTATTCTATTTTAAAAACAACTCAATAAAAACATAAAAACTTAGCAATAGAAAGCTAAAACCTACTAAAAACTATATACTAAAAACGTGAAAGGAAAACTACAAGTCACGTTCTACAAAAGCTTCAATCTTGCTTTGAAGTCATTTGCATGACTTGAGAGACGTACTTGAGTGGGCAAACTGTTCCATAACTTAGTTAATAAATAAGTGAAAGAATTCTTTTTCAATTTAAGATTAAAAAGATCTTACACTGTCCAGTTAATTAATCAACGATTTTAGATTCATTTCTGCATCCGTAATGCACAGTAAATTGATGAGTGAAGTACTTCAATTTTCCGACAGCTTCTTTTTCCCTTCGAATTTTATGTAAATATTTTCATATAGTGGTAGTGTTATCCTTTCAAAAGTATTTAAGAACTTCAAGCGAAGGGGTACGACCCAATGTGGCGGAATTTTATTTAACTTTGTGTTTATGTATCTCAATATAATTCAAATATTTTACCCTTGTTCTTTCACAGATAGAGCCTTAACTGGACACATACTCGATGTGTAAGTACACCGGTATGCTTTAACTATAGTCACTATAGTTGCGCATATTGACTAACATGCACACAAATCTAACAATAAACGAAAAGCCTAAAAATTCAGCATTGATGGGCTTTCCAAGTTGGCCCCACCCATGGTACGCTGCACGCGCGCCAAACCGAGGAACTACACTATAAAAAGGCTTAAGGAAGAATGGAAATGCTTGTCCATAGAAGAAGTATAATGACGTTAGCTCCTCAGGCTAGGATTAGTCTTATTTTTCTCAGGTTCGGAAGAACGAGATAAATACTCACGCGCGTGTGAAAAACATCGCAAGTGAGGAAAGGTAGCAATTTCAAACGCAGTAGTGTAAGGTGCATTGTTCAACCTTCGCGTAAAATATAATTTTTGCGTGCGTGCGTGCGCACGTTAATTTTACGCGTAAACTAGAGCCAATTTATGTCGCGCGTAAACGTAAAAGTTGAGCGAGGTTCTCCTTTTACATTTGCGCGCGGCCTTTCATGCATTTTACGCGCGTACACACGTAGGAATTTAATACGCCACAGTGGAAATCTACCCTAATTCACCCAATCCATTATTCCTAGTGACGACCTGTCCATAATAATAAGTTTATCTTTTTAGTTTACAATTATCCCTCTTATATGATAAAGAAACAAATAAAACATACCGTGATAAAAAACATGGCAGTAGAAAGCAACCTCAGCGGTCAGAGAGGTATATGTACTTAAAACCAGATCTCAACGCGCGTGATTCCACACTCGGCACATGATGCTGCCTATTGCTTCAATTCACTTTCTAAAGACAGGACCAGGGGCGTGCGTAGGCCCGGGCCTACAAAATTTTGGTTTGATCACTCTGCCCCTGGTAATAAATTATGCGTTGTTGGGTGAGCTAAAAAGCGTAAGAGCTCAAAGTGTAGGTGAGGTCAGTGCATACTAGTCATGCGTGCAATTTTCAGGATATGTGGAAATGACAGTCGGCCAGAACTAGACGGAAAGCTGGTTACGCTCCAAACTACTGTAAAATATACCACGCGCCACTCAACGACTTCTCCTTAGCATAACAGTTTGTAATGAAATTTGTAAATGGATTACCATTTGTTTATTTGTCAATTGGCAGGCTCAAGGTAACAGATGAATTTGCCTGTGGAAGACTTTGCTTGCATCGCAATGGCTGCGTATCGTACAATTACCAGTTTGAAAATGGTAATGGAACATTTCATAAGTGCGAACTGAATTCACAAACGAAGGAGGCAAAGCCAGAGACTTTCCAAGAAGTGCGTGGCTTCCTGTATTTTGGGTCTTTATACGAAAGAGAGGTTGGTATATTAAGCAACTTAATTGAGAGGCAAGGAGGATGACTGAATCAGTGTAGAGTCAGCATGGTCTGTCTTGCTTCTTAAATTTATTTGTTGCACAAAAATTTCCTGACTAGAGACATCATGTTTTTCTTACTATAGTATTGTATGCTGGTTCTGTCTACATATGTATTCGACACAGGCCACAATTCAAACAAAAATACAAACAACAAATCAACAAACGGACAACCAATAAGCTACTAAAGTTAATATGTCTCCGTTTCAAATGTTCAAATAATGTGTGTTTTGGTAGAATCTAAAGGAGATAAACTATGAATTAAGCAAACTCGTTGACGCCAATTCCAAGTATACATGAGCGCCGTCTCTTTAATTTCCCCTCGAATCCTAAAGTTTTGATTAAGCAATCAGTACCTCAAGGGATTACTTTAGTCGTGTCTCATCTAGACTAAGATTGAAGAAAGTCTTAGTAGTCAAATGGTAGCCGATCAAGTGCTGATGAACTCATTCAGAATAAAGTTCAACGTTTGATTCTGTAATCTTGGGCATATATATTCAATATCGACGGCTGATACATCATTCAGTGATAGTTGTATAACTTTTACTTATGAATCCTTCAGCCCCGTGTAAGGTAAATCCGGATTCCGGAATTCAAGAATTTTTTTTCTTGTGGAATCCGCAATTCTAATGCACCTATCAATGTAAATCCCGTAGGGGGGGAGTGCGGGCAAGGGGAAGGGATTTGATGCCTGAGACTATCCCCCTGTCGGGCTTTTGATCGTGCGAAGCGACCCCGGGGTCGGGACATTTGACATTGACCGATAGAAGCCTGGTATCAATTCAGAAGCGGTAACCAAGTCCGTCCCTCGAGGCTTTCTTAAAGTCACGCTGTTTGAGAAAGTTATGAAGTTTTCATTTGTTTTAATCACCATAATCCGTTACTTTACACTGTCATCTAAAGAGGTAATGTCTATTTTGAGAAAGTTTTTATGTTCAAGTTCCCATCTGATTGTAAACCTCGATTGAAATCGAATTCTACCATGAAAGTCAGAGGATTTTTTACAGGTCACTGATCCGACCTGTTCCAACATGTTGAGCCGATGTTATAAAGCATTTTATGTTTCATTAATATAACAGCACGGTCAATCTTCCTGGAGTGATTATGTTGTTCAAAATAAGAGATGCTAGTGGAGAGAGAAAATACTTAATTACAGCAAGTAATTTAACGGAGCTTACGTTAACCTTAAATAAAAGTAGTAAGAACGTACTTTTGAAATGTTCTTTCATTCGTTTTATATAGTATTATAGTATTGTTTGTTTAGATTTTTCCCCTAGGGTGGGGGCTTTTTTGACACTTTTGATTGAACTTTCGTTTCCCACCCTGGGGAATTTGATCAAAAAATTTTAAAATTTGTCAAATCCCCACCCCTTGCCCGCACTCCCCCCCCCCCCCCCCCCCCCACGGGGTTTACATTGATAGGTGCATAAGCTCAAGGAATCCGAAATCCCACTAAAGATTGGAATCCGGAGGAATCCATACCTGGAATCCGGAATTTACACGGCGGAATCCAGAATCCAACAAGACAGTCTTGGATTACCTTACGTGGTGCGAAACCCTGTTTCTTTATGTAGACTATGTAACTAAGAGCGTTAAATAACTTACTGTCTATAGGTTTTCAGGGAGGGCCAATCAGATACCAAGGAGGAGAGTAGGACTCTTAATGCGTTTTTTTCTTTCTTTGTTACTACAGAAAGGCACTGGTTGCGCTCATAACAGCTGTTATAATGGCGGTACTTGCGTGGACATTTGTCATGGGGAGATGTTTTACTGTCAGTGTCCTAAGCTGTTTCGTGGTAAACATTGCGAGAGGCCAAAAGGTATTGTGTAAGAAAACGCGCATTAGCGCACTGAATGCATTGATTAATAAAACTAATTAATAAGATACGGGTAAACTTTAAAAAAAGATAAATGTAAAACTTTTACAACCAAGCTTGAAGCACGTTAGATAATAACCGACTGAATCAGTGCAAATGATGGTGGAGGGTGGAGTATGAAGTAGTGATAAGAACGTGAGCGAACATCCTGACACTTGCCCAAAGGCCCCTGCAGCTCCTAACGCCTTTAAATACTGAGGCTCTCTAGTAAGAAATAAGGCGAAGAAAAGACCAGAAAGCACTTGCGGAACTTACAGGCAACAGTTCTTCAAAAAAAAGCACATTATTACCGTCAACTAGGCCACATTATGCACCAGACGTTGTTTGCTCGCTCCTTGTTGACTTTATTGATAACTATATGTGAAATTCAGCTTCAACAATTCACTAAGTCAGTAACATAACAAAGGAAGAGACAATGAGGAGTAGGCAAGCTAGCTATTCGATCTTTGCTAGTGGAGCGCACTTGCGTCATACACAACCTGACTAGTGAGTATGCGCATCTGCAGTAGGCAGGGTTCTTCAGATCATACTCAGCTTGGTTCAAAAATTTCTTAACCTGGCTCACAGGCCGGGTCTCATGCTGCTTGCGCTTATTATACTTGCGTCGCATAAAAATAAGACTTAACTGACCTTATCTCCCATGTTTGTGGTTATTTTGTACCTTTAGCGATAGCGTGAGTAGGATTTTTTACCTCGCGATATGGCCCTGAAAACAGTTCTAAAACGCCATACATCGACAATCGCGCGGCGCGCAACTTCAAACTATATTTACAATTCTGGGAAGTAAAATAAAGAAAATTTCCCGCTTTCTTTTCACAGCACACAGCTGTAAAGAATTGATGGAACTTGGTGATATAACAGACGGCGTCAAGCGAATAGCGCCTGATGACAGCGGAGATGATGTTTTTGTATACTGTGACCAAACTACAGATGGTGGTGGGTGGACTCTGTTCCAAAGACGCTCGAGTCCTTTCACAAACTTATTCTCCAAAAACTGGGCAGAATACGAAGCAGGCTTTGGCGAAGTTAACTCGTCTTTTTGGCTTGGAAACATGGTCTTGTCGCGCCTCACAGCAACACCTGTAAAGCTAAGGATCGAACTTAAAGAGAGCAGCAGTAACCAGCAGGGATTTGCTGTGTATCAAGACTTCTCGATAACCGGACCTGAGGATAATTATCGCCTCAGTGTAGGGTCTTATATGGGAGATATCGGCAACGCAATCAGCGGTCACCCGAACCATGCGTCTATGGAAAACGGAATGCAATTTTCGACAACAGATCGAGACAACGATGTTGCTAACCCGGGAAACTGTGCAAGTGTGAACGGAAATTCTGGATGGTGGTTCCCTCACTGTGGTCACGCAAATTTGAACAGGGTCGGCAATTTACCTCAATGGGATGACTGGATACATTTTGCTAAAATCAGTTACACTGAAATGAAAATAAGACCATATTGAGATCGGTTATAAGTTATAAACGTGATTTAATCGTTCTGTGTTCATAGCTAGTAGCACGCAGAAGAGGCGTTATTGTTTTATTGTTTATTATTATTATTATTATTATTATTATTATTATTATTATTATTAACTTTTTTAATTATTATTTTATTTTATTTTATTTTTTATTTTCCAGGCGAGAGAAGGAAACGCGAAGAGAGCGAATGCGCGAGACACGAGCGAAGGGAGAAGACGCAGAATATGATTGGTTGGTCATTTGGAGATGTGTCTTGTGGGGCGGAATGGAACAAGCAATGCTGTGTCGACGGGCGTTATTTTTTTCGCGCCTTCTCCCGTCGCGGGTGTCTCGCGCTCAACGTAACTCTTCATGCTTTACATGTCCGAAAAACTCAAAAAAGCAGTGCCTGTTCTGCAGGCTGTGTTCATAGAGCGGGAAATTTTGTGATCCGTCTGTGTTCTGAAAGAAACATGCTTTGATACCAATAGATTCACCATTGTTTGAGACCTTTGTCTCATGGTTAGTCTTGAAAATTTTGAGGGTTAGGTCCTTACAACGTACAGTTGACTTCCGATAACTCGAACCAAAAGTCGATTTCCCCTGGATTTCCTTCATACGTTTACTGTAATTTTACCCTTAGTAACTCGAACCTCCCGCTAACTCGAAATAATTTTTGATTCCCATCATTCCTATGCAATTTTACCCTCGTTAACTCGAACCATGTTTTAAGGGCGTGACAAGTCGAAAAAAAAGCTGTGAAATGCAGTCCAAAACATTTAATTTATTTCAAAACAACCGTGTATTTTTTGTCTCTACTCTTTTGTCAGTCCAATACAAATGTGCAATGTTTAGTGCTTTACCGTGAAGTGGGCATAATACTTGCATTCCTCACCAATCCCATTTACTTACTTCTGGTTTGTTGCTTCGAACTCCTAATAACTCGAAATTTTTTCGATTTCCCTTGAAGGTTCGAGTTATCGGGAGCCACTGTATCTGCATTCCAACTTCTCCTTATATCAAAATTCCCTTGACGGAGAAGGCAGAGCTTTTATAGCTGCGAGTAAGCTCTCCTGGGGTTCAGGCTAGACCTTCTATCAAGGCATAACGCTGCGAAAAAAAGGTAAAGGAACTTAAGGAACTTGCTGTCCTTGTCAAAGAAAAACGAAGATAAAATTTTAAACTTCTTGTTGAAACTAAAAAGCGCTATGCCGTACAAAAAAAAAAACGTCTTTGGTGAATCTCGCAACAAAGAGATGTAATCATCGAGGAAGGACTCGGCAAGCTAATTGAAACAATGGACGCTCTAGGTTCAATCCTATAAACAAAATAAAACAGCGCCTTTCTTCTGAAGGATTTTCAAACAGAGCGGAGCTTCACTGTCTGTTTTGACATACTGTACGTTCAGGATCACCGCATTTCTGCTTCTCACAAGTCGCCCCATGAAAGGGAATACAATGACAGTCTTGGATTCTGGATTCCACATTGTGGATTCCGGATTCCAGGTACTGGATTTCAGTCTTTGCTAGTGGAATTTGGATTCTCGATTCCAATCGTTAAAGGGATTTTGGATTCCAACTTCCAGGATTTCGGATTCTATAAGCAAACTTTTTCCGGAATCCGGATTCCCTTACATGGGGCGACACAAGCTTTAGGGGCAAAATACTACTTTGAGGAAATTTTGTGCATTACCGGTTAAAAGGATAAGAGTTTTAGATGCATTTTTTTCACTATTCAGCAGACATAAATTAAATTTCAAACGTTTCTTTCACTTTACATTTCAATAAGACCAAACGCCTTGTTTTCCATGAACCCTACTGTGCTTTCTTAACATGACACCCCAAGCTTGTTTTTCGTACTCACCCAGCACCCTGCACCCGATTTAAGTTTTTGAGTTGTACTAGACTGCGAGCAGGAGTGCACGCGCGCGCGAGCGTTGAGCGGTGAAGCGAGAAACGAGGGCAGCAGCTTCACTAACGCGCGTGGTCACTTGCGTGTCTCGGGCGTTTTGCTCGACGGACCAAGAAAAAAGAGAGACTGTTCGTAGTCTAGAGTTGTACTAACAATAAAGACAACTCTAAATCTTAAAAGTCGATAAAGCGGCTTCTAAATGGCTCTAAAAGCAAAGAAACAGTAAAAACATAACAAAATCACAAGGTGAGTCATTTTTATTTCCATTTTTGTCAAAAAATGGAATTTAAGTTGTAATTTGTTTATTTTCATACTTTCTCCTACACAAATTTCAAAGTCAACGAACTGTCACAGAGTCTGGGTGGCCTGTGGTTTATAGAAAGTTGATCACGTGACCAACTGCAACTATTGCAAAAGGCCATTTGTTGCTCCAGTGAGAGAAGGGCTTGTGAAACTTTGTAAAGGAATTTTAGGTCGACTCTGAACTCTCTGCGATGAAAGAATGGTGACATTTTGCGAGTGGGCTTCAGGCTTTTTGGTCAGCGGGGCTTAGTACGAATGTTTAATGAGTGTTTGGAAATCGGATGAAAAACTGCTCAGTATTTGCATCCTTAATTTCTCCTTCAAAAATGGGAAGAAATATCAAACATTCGAGACAGTGTTTCATCACCAGATGAAACACCTCGAAGTTCGTCAAAAATACTCCGCTGCGCGTCGTATTTTCAACTCTCTTCTCGGTGTTTCATCTGGTGATGAAACACTGCGTCTCATGTTTGATATATTACATGAAGGATCGTGAAGGATACATGAAGTATAAACCGAAATCTGAATTTTCCTGAAAATCGTTATCACTTATGTCGCGAAATTTTCGTTTGCTATTTTGCTTCTTTCAATTTTATTGTTTCTTGAAAGAAGCATTAACCCAGAATAGCGTGACAAAAGATGATCTCGGTGAACTTTACAAAGCCTTTGTGCAAGATTTGGTATACATCGATCGTGAGTACAAGAAGCTTGATTCAGATGCTGTTCTTGGGTTGCGCGTAGCCGAAGGTAAGCATAGCGTAGGTTTAGGATGTTGTTTTATCGAACTATTAACGGGATGAACCTTGTTAAGCCATTATTTGATCTAGGCAAGAAAGAAGAAAAGTCGTTTAACTTGGTTGGTTTGAACCACACTGCAGACTTGTTTTCGAAATATTTTGCTGGCTGCTGGTCGCTGCTGACAGCAGGGGTATACATGCACACACTTATACATTTGTAAATTAAAAAGTGGTAAATAAAACACTTGTAAAAGTTAAATATTAAATTGACCTCAGTTCTCGTCTGTGGGTAGACTTATGTACCAGTCAATTCCAAACTTTTCAATAGCTTTCAATCGCAAGCCACTACAGGCAACGCCACGTAAACAAAATAGCCTGGGGGGGTACTGCCGATATATGGGCTATATAGGTATTAGCCGCTGTGAAGGGTATGGTTTTCAAGCAGTTTACTCCAGGCGTTTGGGTCTAGAATAGGGTATCATTTTTCAGGAAACTGATCAGTTGATTGAAGATTTTATCTGAGGTTTTGTTTCAGTTGATTGAAGATTTTATCTAGACTAGGATAGGGGGATTGTGGTATGAACTCTGGTATAGTTTTTTTAAGGGTTCCAGGGTCCCAGCAGCATCCCCAGACTGTGCTAGTGAAAAACTGACCTCAAGATAGCAGTCATTCAGATCCATGAAAAAGTGTTTAGGACAAATGTCCTAAAGAGCTGAATTTTCTTAGGACATTTTTAGTTTTTGTCAGACATTATTTTGTTTTCTTATGACAGAATGAATGAAAATTAGATCCTTACAAGATACTTTTAGTTTAAAAATACTTAAAAACAAATATACTTTTACATGTAAAAGGTCTAGGAGACCTATTTCTTCTATTAATAGCATTTCCATGACCATTAAATTAAACAGTTTGAAGTTTGGTTTTCAGAATGGATTTGAAAAATTATTTTTTGTTTTCCTCTTTCCTTACCTATTAAACACAGCATTTTAAAAGAAATATGTTTGATATGTTTGCAACTTTCATAACAAAGAAAAATGGCACAAGATATTCTTATGTTAGCCAAACGTACTCAAATAAACTGCACTTCATTCTGTTGTTTTCTTGATCATAATCCAGCCACAAGTAGCTTTAAGCCATCGTGGCTGGAATTTTCGTTCAGCTTTGGCGGCAATTTTTTTTGTTGGATCATTGACCAAATCTTCATGAGCTACTTTCACACTGCTTTCTTCATTTGAAAAAATATGACATAGGTTTTTGGTTCTTTTCAGCCATAACTAAGTCTTTTCATTCCCATGGTTCACTCGAAATAGAATCAAAGATGGCGCCCGCATTATAACAAGCACTCCTATGGGCTTTTGTCTGACCAATCACATGCACTGTGAGATCTTTGTAAAATACATCCAAGATGGCAGAGGTTGCATTGTTCAGTGTGCAAATTGCGGCTCAAACTAGGGACATTTCCATTATGTGGAAAATTGTACAAAATGTACCCATCTCTAACATTAATCTCTACCACAAGACACATTTTAGAGTATTTCATATTCTATTTTCATTTCGCATATTTGTCATAATTTAGGTAAATTTGTTCGGACAAATGAAAATTGTCTCGGACTATGTCCAAAGACAGACATGGATCTGAATAACTGTGAGAGGGACTGTAAAAAGACCCACAAGCCCCTTCAACCCAATAATTAGGGTGCCCCCGCATATGCCCGATGATAGACTGCTGCCCAGCTATGTCTCGAGCTTAACTTATATAGCCTAAATTTCATTTAGCCTCATAGTCTGATAGACAGCCCATCTGATAGGGTGCGATAAAAAATCAGAAATTGTGCAATAAGATAGGACTATTATGCAATAAATTATGCGATTTTTTCAGGGCTAATTAACATTGTTTTACCAGGTTTCAAGGGAGAAAAATCACTTTAATGTAAAAGAATAATAAAACGTCTATTTTAAAACAAAATAATTAAATTTGTCCAATTTTCTTGACCCGGAAAAGAAAACAGTTAGAAAGGAAGAAAAAGGACACATGTTTAACATAATGACACCGTTACACTGCTGACCACACTGCTTGTCTCTGAAATCAAAATGGCTGCCCAGATACCGTGATCGGAGGTTTCAGATGTCTTGCAAGGCTTTCTTTAGTGGCATAATTATCACCTTAAATAACATTAAGATTGGGAAAATGTTTGATTAAAGTTAGAATTTCTTACTTACTTTACTTGAAGTTATTAATTATGCGATTTTCCTGAAATTGTGCAATCGGATGCAATTTGAGGTCAATTGTGCGAAATTGTAACATCACGTAATATCAGATGGCCTGCATGGATCCCAAGCGGGAAAGGTGGGCCCATCTTACTCTCTCTGACTGAATTTTCTCACAATAGACCTTTCCTATTGCACAGTCTGCCCTGAAAATGCTACCCAATTTCTGATTTTTTATTGCACCCTATCAGAAGGCCTGATACAACTAAACAAGAACATCTTTGTCTTGCAGGCTACCTCAAGAGGTTACTTCAAGATGCAGAAAGAGGAAAAATTAAACTCAAACTAAAAGTCTTCAATGATGTAGAAGATCTCCTACACAGAGTATCTAACATTCTAAAGAAGATTACTCCACTGGTCATGGAGAATGACCCACTCTTTTATCCTTTGCTTAACTCTCAGTGGACGTATTACAAACCATATATGTATAAAGAACAAGACTATGATGAAGGGCAGAAAGATGAAGCCGATGCAGAAAGGTTTTCTCAATGTGTTAGAGAAATTACTGGGAGCCGGATTAGTAACAGTGACTTGTGTACAATTTCTGATGATTGTTGGGAAGCTATGATGACCAAAGGGGCTCCAACTTCTGTTCTTTACTACCAAGTTATGTTCTTCATCTTAGGAGAGGCATCAGGTAAAGTGGAATTCTGTTCTGTTTGGCTCATAAAACCGAGCATTTGAATTTATGTAACAAGGCGCTCCAGGTGGGTACTCCGAATTCAAGTGACAGGGATGATCAAATGGGGGCAAAAATCAAAACCCCAAAAAAATCCCTAGGGCTTCAAACAAAACCTAAAAAAATCCCTTGACCAAAATTAACCCCCAAAAAATTCCATGCCAAATACCCAGTCATAAAAAGTTCCAGAAAGCACTAAGTGATATAACAAGAAAAATAGAAAAATTAGTTTTGAATACCCAAAAAATACTTGCCAAAATTTTCCTACCCAAAAAAATCCTGAAATCGAAAATGTCACACCCCCAAAAAATCCTACCATCACCCCTGTCACTTGAAATCCAGAGTACCCCCCTCCCTGAGCAAGACACCTCCTGGAAATTAAGTAAGATGTTATTCAGTCGGTGACACAGGCGGCTCAGAAGAAATAATCCGAGTTCTTTTCCAAGCAGGAGTAAAACCTACATGTATGACCTTCTGGTTAGTAACACATGAACCTAGTTTAGTGGCCTTAGCTATCACACATCTCCTGTTGTCTTAGTGGTAGAGCATCTGAACTAGTGACCAGAAGGTCATACCGTAAATCCTCAATGAAACCCCCTCTCATATAAGCCCTCCTTTTTCAGGAGAAGAAAGCACCCCGTCTCTTTTAAGCCCTCCTTCCCCCCCCCCCTTTATTATTCTTCACTATAATAAACAATGATAGACTGCATTAATCAGTCACAACTGTAAAACTTTGTGTGGACTGTTCCAGGATGGTTAATTCACCAACTGGAAGTTCGGATTTAATTCTGATGCTCGGCTGTGGGCCTCCAACTTTCTTGTGCCAGAGCTTTTCCACTTTGTTTTCAAGTTCTTTATGGAGAACTGATACCATTTTCTTTGGTAAAAATATTGTTGACATAAATTTGCCCCCCGGGGGCCTTCTAAGTTTTTTTTCCTCTGAGCCACCTGTGTCACTTACAGAATAAGCATAAGGTGCCTGGGCTGGGAATTCTAAGTACATGCTGCTGAGGCGAGAGATTTGGACACCCTTTTCCCCCACCTCTCCATTTGTCTTACAATGTAGTAATAATTACTACCATAGTAGTACTTACATGTATTAATTGAATCATAGTACATGTAGGGGTCATAACAGGTGGCAAACATCAAAGAAAGCAACAACAGTGCTGAAGTTTATGGTGGAAGCTTGACGATGCCCAATCCTTTGTTTTTTGTTCCCTAATTGTGATGGCATTAATGCGATATGTATATTACAGGGCTCAAAAAAGACTCAAATTCTAGTTTGTCTATTAAGGGAAGCAGCTTGCAGATTTTGCTTGCCTAGGGCCATTTCTTGTTTGTCTTAGTTAATGATTTTGTTAGAGGATGACTTGCCTTGCCTTGCCTTGCCTATTGGGAAAGTAATTAAGATTTAAAACTATACTTGCCAGCAAGAAAATGTACTTCTCCCAGACTTCCCAGACGGGACTTTTTTCGAGCCCTGATATTGATCAGTAAGATGAAAAGTATACGTGTAGGACTACTATTGAATGTTGTGTACCGTCAAGTCCACTGAAAGATATTACAAAGAAGGCTGACAGGCTTCATAACCACTCCATTCTTTTAACTATGATTGAATTCACAAGAAAATGAGATCATGAAGCTGCACTCTTTCCTTTTGTTTTCACCACAAGGTTGCCTAAATAAGATGACTTTGAAGATGAAATCATCTGGAGTGACCCTGTCAGACCACCTTCAGCAGGTCTGCAGAACAGCTTATCTTGCTGTTGCTTATTTGAACTTCCGTGGTGGAGGTGATCCAGAAGGCCTTATATCAGTCTTAAAGCTGAGCTTCAGCTGTGGCTTGTATGGATACCATGAGATATTAGAGGAACGAGGATTGTCAAATGTTATTGGCTGGCAGCTCAGTAGCGGGTGTTACGGCGATTACAGCAAGGTGGGGGAGGAAAAAAGGTAACACTGTTTAAAAATATTATTCCTTTGGCCCATTAATTCTTAAGCCCAGAGCTTCTGAATATGTAATAAGATGGCCCCAATTTTGCCCTGTAGTTGATTTCGATGTGGTATATGTACAGGTAAGCATGTAATCGAATGTAGATGAAGAAAATTAAAGATCTTGAACATCACACTTGCTTTCAGTGAGGGCAATTTCTGCAACTTCGGAAAACACAAATAATATTCAGCAATTATTGGATGAGGCTGAGTATGATCTACATTAAATTTTTTAGATCATGCAAAAGCCGAATTCAATTCTTAGGTTTTACTATCCATTCAAAATAATTACTAATTCAAAGTTAACATTCTTACCTCTGAATCGATTTTAAGTTCCTGTCTTCATTTGTCTGTTCCACAGCAAATTCAGGATATAACAGAAAGTCTACCAGATATTTGTTCTTTGATGTGGGAATGATTTTTTATTCTCATGCAAATAAAACTCATTTTCTTTGGCTGTTACCAATCTCATGTGAATAAAACTCATTTTCACAAGAAAGGTTGTGCACTTGGCCTCATTTTGAAAGTGAGGGTCTTTAGAACTCAGAAGTGGCCTATTACATTTGCCATCTGTTGAACTTGCTTTCGGTGATCTTGCAGAATTCGGCTATTCTTTGCAAAACTTCTTAAAGTTTTCGCCATTTTTGTAGACCATGTACATGTAGATTCTTAGTGTTCTGTACATCAACCTATTCATTTTACTTTTTTTGCTTATAGTGCAGCTTCAGCTGGGAAAGGAAAGCTCAAGTCTTCATATCTTGGAAGTGAGTCTTTCAAACGTTTTTCTTCTTTTGTTCTTGGTAAAGTAAGTCAACTGTCCTATGGTACAAATGCCATTCAGCTTTAAATGTTTGATATTTTATTTTGGCCACGCCCCAAACAGTACAGTACAGTACAATTAAAATCCTCGAGACGGTAAACCTGTTAACATGGAGTTGCACTGGCGACTACACAGACGACCAGTGCAGCGACCTCTTTAGACCTCTTTGCCTGCTCAAAGGAGACATTTTATGATTATTTTAATAGCGATTCCAAGGGTCCCGTTTGTATGGAGGCGTACATGTAGACTTCCCAAACAGCATCGTCTTTGTCAGCGTAGTGTTTGAACAACGTCAAACATGACCAATATATTTTAAATATTGGCTCCTGATCACATTAATTTTTCTGAGACTGTTGTTTTTTGTTTATCATGGTTGCCACGGTCAGGGAAAAGTCAGGGAAAAACAAAACTTTTTCAAGGTCGGGAAAAGTCAGGGAACTCTTTAAAAAGTCGGGGAAAATCTTTGGTATTGTCAAAGTCAGTGAAAGGTTAGGGGATTCTGTTTTCCGGTTTATAGTTCATATATCATCTTGCAACATCTATAACAGACGTATTCATAAGTCTTTCTCAAGATTTTGAAATGCATTTGGAAAAGATAAAAAGTATGCTGCAAAGAAAGGAAGGCGATCAATTTGACACTCTATGCCTGACACATTTAGTAATTGTGGTCAGTGGTTTTTGTTGTGAAATTCTTTCTTCCATATTCCTTCTTTCTCTTTCCACGAAACGCAGAAAGAGTTTGAAAATGAAGAAATAAATATCGATGGCTGCAAACAAAGCTAAAGCAAATGTAAACATCGATTGTTTCTCATCAATAAAAGGTCAGTGAAAACTGTTTAGAGGTCACTGAAAAGGCAGGGAATTTTTAACTTTCTGATAAGTGGCAACCATGTGTATGTGTAGAATGTCTGTGTTGGTCTATGGAAGTCTGAACATCATGATAAATAGCGGTCTTAACATCATTATAAAGTTAAAGGAATGATTCCTGTACAAATGATGATCTTTTGAGAGTGTTAATCCAGTGTATTCCCTTTGTTTCTCACTGGCTAAGGGAGTGGATGATATAGAGAAGAGAAGCAATGACGTCACAAAAACTAAATTTGTTATGAGATTGGTTGGCACATGTTTCCAGAAAGAACAAGATGAAAAATGTTCGCCTGCCAAAAATCAGCCTGTTAGTGCAAATTGGTGATGAGATATAAGCAGTGTCATGCTCCAATGACTCCATAAAAAGGCCTGGATCGTTAATGTTACGATCCAAGCCAATTTTACAAGGATTCGTATGGAGTCATCAGAGCAAACCGGTGCTTATAGTATAACTACCCACCAGTTTGCACTAGCCTGCGTGGCAGTCGTTCGAAAGTGAAGGGGAAGGGAATTTAGGGCGCGAGACCGCGCTCGAGGGAGGAGGGAGGAGGGACAAGTGTTCCTTTTCTTTCTCCCTCGCGCGCTCTCGCGCGCCCAAATTCCCCCTTCCCCTTCCCCTTTTAACGTTTGCCACGCAGGCTAGTTTGCACTAACAGACTGAATTTGACAAGAGGGCTTTTTTCATCTTGTTCTTTCTGAATAAGCTAACCAATCCTATTATTACACAAATTTAAGTGTTTGCGACGTTACACCACTTGTCTTCTCCATTTTGAGCCATTTAGATGGCATTGACATGCAACACACTGTGCCATTCATTAATTTATTCAATTTGTTTTCGTCAACTTGTCAGATGGCTGTTACAGTGACGTCACCGGAATAGGATTGGGTCTTCTTGCTGTTTACCTGAGGTGGGTCCTGGACCCTCCACCTCAAGTCCAGCCAGTGAATCTCGTATTAAGTGCTCAACAAGATGCCCAAACAGTGACTGTTTACATGATGGGTCTTCTTCTGCTTACTGTTGCGTTCTTGATTGCAGCTAGAAGACGCCTTCTACAAATGGTCTCAGCCTGTTGTATAATTCTACTTGGAGAAAGAACAAGGTGATGCAAAGCCTTGGATTAGAGACAGTTAACAATATTATTGGACGAAGTTGAGCAAAATAATTGAGCTGCAAAAACACTGACAAGTCACGATATTTTGCGTTAACCGAGTTCAGTAATTATTTTACTCATTCGATCACCAAGTTTGTTTTTTAATGAATATCCTCAGGAAGCGAAGCGATCTGTCATTTTCACGCTAGAGCGATCACAACAAGGAGAAAAGCGTGGTTTGAGTTAAGCTTGAGCAGAATGTTATTTGCTGCCAAACACTGTTGGATGACATTGCGCATGAGCAGACCATTAATTGTAGGCTGAAATGAAGTTGATGTGACCTGCGGATCATCGCGGTAGTAATCAATAGTAATTTAAACCACGGCGACGATCATATGTTCATTTAAAAGTGCCATATTTGGTAAAAATATGCATATCTCGAATACAATTCTTTAGAGGTTTAATTTACTATGACAATTTTTTGAATACTATGTTGTTTTGAGTTGGCGCTTGTATCTGATTAGTTACTAGACTCGTATATTCCCTGCTATATTCATTTATTATACATTCTACTCATTATCTGTCTTCTCATTGTCTAAGAGCCTACAGCTATTTTTTTCAAACCAGCGCAACTTACAGATTAGTTAGTTGTCCGCTAGCAAATAACTGACTAATCTATAGGTTGCGCGCGCAATGCATGATTTCCAATAACAGTTGTATCAATTCAGGTTCTTTGCGACGCTGTGGTTGTCGTTATTTTCTTCAAAACAATTTGTAATAAATTAATTATTACATTCGGTTTTTGTGATATCCTAAATAATCAAGGTCCCGGTATGTGTTATTAGCCTCGGCCTTCGGCTCGGCTGATAACACTTACCTCGACCTTGATTATTCCGGATATCACAAAAACCTCATCCAATAACTGTTTAATATCCCCCTATTTATTTTAGTTAGCTTATATTTATTCCTTGGTACAAGTTGTCAATACGTTGTACAATTAGTTGATAATTGGGAGTCGGTGTTGAAACATTTTTAATTACATGTGGTTTTTCCAAATCTTAAGATGTTTACGGTTGTATTTTATCTTTCTTGTTACTTTCGCGTCGTGGTCGTGCAACGACGGTAAAGAAGTGTACCAAAAAAAGCGTGATACCTTTTCAATAGTTGTTGCTTAAGGTCCCTGGTCAAAATGGAAAAAGCGCTGTGGGTTTGGTGTTTTCTTTGTTTGTTTGTTTCTTAATTTGCGCGCGTTATGCATGGTGGTCGTATCCACTTTGATGAAACTTTGAAACAAGTACTAGCTTTTGGTGTTGTTTCTGACAGGATTTGACCTCAGTTGCAGTTTAGCACTGGTTTTCTTTAGCCTCTCTTAGAGCCTTGTAAACTTTTCAAAACGGCTAAATAACCTTTTAATAAAGATTTTAGTTTCTTTGGTTTTATCCGAAATGCCTGCATCAGAATAACAACAGTTGTGTAGTTTTTGTTTTTGCCGTGAATCTGATGATGCTCATTTCTGACGCTCCCCAGCGCTTATGTATCCCCCTCTTTATCAGCTGCCCCTCGAACATATGCTTACTTTTTGAACCTGTGCACTCTGTGGCTAATTTACCTTATCACATCGGCTGGCAGATACAACGAAATCTTTTTCTTGCTAAAACAGGCTTGTTAGAAAGAAAATAGTCAGTTATTCACATTGGTGTTTTTCTGTTTTCGATTACGGTCATTGGCTCTAAAATCAGTTCCGTCTTTGTTAGCTTACGTTAACTATTAATACTCAGTGTGTTTTGGCTCCACGGCGATTTTGCCAGCATTGTAAAGAAAAAAGTCGACAACCGGTTTCCACTTCATTTTTTTTTTTTTTTAATGAGAGTTTCCTAATTATTTATTTACCTAAATCTATAATTACAAACTCATTGCTTCCGGCTTTGTTTTCGCTAAAATCGCCATCAAAGAAGGCCACAAAGCACTCGGTCATAATAATTAACTCCATCGTAAACCCTCTACAAGTCTAGATACAGAAGATTTTCACTGCATCGAGATTTCTTGTAACTTCGTATTACCATTGTCTCATCTATATCACGTGGTGGGACAAAACTGAATAATACTCTCAACGTTCAACGTCGAAGTCATGTATCCTTCTTAAAAGTGCTAACTTGCTGTATCTATTGATGCCAGATGGCCTTTTTGTCGCCAGAATTCGTTCAAGAGTTCTGTCGTCCATTATATTGGACTGATCTTGACCATTTCCTTTCGATGATGGCCCCAGACGATCCTGCAACGAAACAGAAATAAATAAATAATTAATAATTGATGACATAAAAGTCAGTGGAACCTAGGCTACATTTTTCCCCTGGGGAATACGTCCTCTCTACAACGCCGGGCCGCTTTAACAGGGGCACCCAACGACGGTTTCCTCCTAAATGCATTGAAACCACTTTTTAGGCCGTCCAGAGTATTTTTAGATCTCTAGAAATACATTCTAAGCGACGCTATAAAATTTGCATCTGTTCGGTCATCCTAGGGGAACTTGAGTCTTCGAAATTACCAGGGCCTCAGTATTGTTTTCTCGAAAATTTTAGATGAGTTTTACGAAAGTCAGAATTTGTCTGATTCCTCGCGCCATCGCATTTTCGAATCCGAAAATTTTAGGTTTCCTTTTTATACGAAAATAGCCTACCTAACAAGGGGAGTGAAATGCGAAGATTTGAACGTTAGAAAGCTGTAGAGAATTTATTGCATATGCTTCAAAAATTGAACATGAATGGAACGGTCATCTAGAAATTTTTAGCCTTGCTCAAGCTGTAGAATTTTGTTTCTCTGAACAGATATTATACGTACAGAAAACAGCCGTTGGGTGCCCCCGCTTCAATCCCTGCAATGCCGCTTAAGTCTGTCTTAAATGTTAGAGTGGTTATCTTCTCCCCGTTTAGGGGTTTTTTAACGATAATGAAGTAATGAATCATACCAAGTTTACAAAATAAGCGTGATGGCAGAGGATGGGACCGCAGAGGGAGGACTTTTATTTGAGTTGTACAACATGATGAGTTTTCAAAATAAGGTGAAATCGTGCATTCTTCTTTTTTCTTGTAGTAGCAGACAATAACTCTTGGTCACGTGACCATGTAGGAATCTTTGTCGCGTGACAACATGATTCGATAGATGACTGGAAGTATCCAATCACAAGCTCTCGGTGGATTAACGCAGACTATGCAATTTATTCGTCACTGCGAGCTCGTCTTTGAATGAGTATACTATATTCTGCCAAATGTCAAGAAGTGAGTGAACACGCTTATTTCGTAAAGAATTCCAATGGATAAAGAACGCCTTTTAGTAATGTTTCTGTCGTGGAGTTCCCTCATCAAACATGAATGGAATCTAGACACGGAGTTCAGAATCTGACTGTAACTTACATTCAAGCAGCAGATTGAATGAAGTTCAGTTTTGTCTACAACTTACCTTAATTACCGATCTCCGGCCATTCGGTTTCTTTCCTGAATTTCCAAACCAACCCATAAAACTGAGCGAGCCATCCACTATTAGTGCTACTAGTAAAATTACGACAAGAACAAACCTAGCCATCTTGGTGATCGACGTTCTGTGTCAACTTGCTTTAGTTCCTTGAGGTGTGCTAAGCAACAAGTGAATATGGCAAGAAGGACTTGCAGCCTCGCCTTTTAAACTTTCGGTTGTCGGTGGTCCATATGGCTCTGGCTTGCGGCTCACGCTGTTAAATCTTCAAAAAGCAGTACAACCACATGAATCTAAGCGTTGGTTAGAAATCGTAGGCCGATGCAGAAGTTGGTACAAGCTGCTTATAGTGCTTCCTACGCTTCTATCAGAAATCATGAGAAAATGGTTAGACGCAACTGTGATTCAAACGGCTTTTAACTACAAAATTATACTTTTCATCCTTAATCGTGCGTGTGGCATACTGCTAAGTGAAAATCGCAGAATCAGGATTCTCTATTGTTACAGCTTTCAGCAAACGAATCTCTGGCTTCGTAGTATAGTTCAAGTCATGCCAAAAAAGCAAACCAGCAAATAGTATAACCCCTTTACTTACAGTAGCGAGAAAGTGGGCCAAAGTGTGGAATATTAATCCAAAACAAAAAAATTAATAATTCCATTATAAAAAAAAAATACTGAAGATGTTTCAGGTCAAGAATTAGGCGTACTTCTCGAGTCTTTACAATTAACTCTGGTATTGAAAGGGTTTAATAAAGCTCAAAATTCATTTTTCTTTGAATTGAAACAGGTGTTTCTATTAAGGATAAAGAACTTCCCCAAAAGAATTAGAACTCTTTTGAAATTGGTAGGGTCATGTTGCTTCTTGGCCATTTAGTTCCGTTCAATTAAGTCATGGAACAGATGATCGATTCAAGATCACTGCGTGCTGTTTATTTTATGAAAGGTACGTACCAAGACAAAGATTTCTTTACGCGGAACGCCATCAATAGCGATCGTCGGCAGGGACTGAGAATTTAGGAGCACGTACATCTTAAAGTGGTTTGTTTAATTCTTCGTCGGTGTATGAATTTATTTATGAATTAACCCGAAAATTGGTTTTTGTCGAGTATGTTGATGAGGTAAATTAGCTACACTAGAGTCAATTCCCTTTCAGGCCGTAAAGACAGCCTTTCTTCAAAGCAAAAACAGATTGAAATTCGCCCTGGACTCGCTCTGGCTTTCGCTATTGTAGTCAATTGACCTCATCTACTCAGCTTTCTCAGCAGATCGTGGCTGATAAACCAAACATGCAATTCTGCCGACACTTGTTTTTGAATGTCTTTTTTAATGCTAAAACAGATATTTTATTTCTTTTGTCTTTTCTAAAATAAAAAAAAAAGGAATATTGATCCAAATGATCCATAACGGAGGTGAATTCTTCGGATCATATCCAAAACCGGATACTTTGGATACATGATCCGAAGCGTTTCTTTACTACGGATCGGTTAAGAGTGAATATTGCCAGCGGTAACGAGAAACAATTTTAATACATACATCAGCTTTTTGAGAAGACTGCTTGTCTTTTAAGCCTGAGTCATGAATTAAACGATTGATTTTATCCGTTTTATCGGGGTGGTAAAATCGCAATACAAACATGACCTGCATTGTTCTGGTTACAAGGAAAAAACTGCTACACAACTTTACCGGCGCGTCTTGCAAGACTTTGCTTTCCAATACATATCTTATTTTAAGACTGGTCTTCATTGGGCCCGTCTAAAGCAGTATCCTAAAGCTAACCGTCCAGAAAACAATGAAAGATCAGCAAACTTGCAACCTTGCCAGCAGTGGTGTTATTCTTCTTCTGGGATACCGTCGATATTGTGGGTCGTTTCTACGGAAATGACAGTGAAAAATAATCCCTTTTCAAGTACATCGTGTCTTTTCTCAACGAAAAATCCTAATGATCCGGATTTTAATTTTGATCTTATCTCGGATTGTTTTAAAGAAACGCACCTTTAGATACTTTAAAGGGGTAGTGTCCATAGATTTTATAAGTCTTCTTGAAAATCCAATAAGTGTTAGTGCGTCAAATGGGAATTCCTGAAGGGAGGAGAATAGATTTATCGAATATTTTTCGAATAATGCTCGTAATACTATGGCCAAACATAAGACGTTTAAATACGCTTCTTTGAAAGCCAATCACTCACTTAGTGTTTTTCTGCTCCAAACTCTCATAGAAGTCATAGAAAATTGATCAATAATTAAGTTCCTGATGCCCGCCGCAGCACACTGCACAGCACCCCGCTTATAATCAGTAATGATTCGATTCGTGCAGCGGCTTGGTAACAAGACTGTCATAAACAGCACAAAAGAAAATAATTCATTGAGGTAAAAATTGACACGGCAATACACTTTTGCACGATTTGCTTATAAGCACGTTGGTGTTGGTTTCGTAAATCTAGCAGTCTGGATAAAATAAATGAATGGTAGTCCTGTTTCATTTACCATCACAGGATGAATTTTGTTTTGTAATACTAGTGCTACTGCTAAAAAAGTGAACATTTGCGAAACAAACACATTCTTAATTAAATGTATAACATAAAACACGTGCCCATTTCGAAACGTAGTCAATGTGCTTTTTGACCTGTCATGCTGACCTGTCGTGCTGTTAGTGACAGGTTAAGATTCAAAGGTAGATTTAACCCACTGAAGGCGGGGTCGCAGTTACTTCCACAGAAACTGTGGCACCTTGTTTGTGTAGGAGAAGAGTAAAACACACACACAAAATATATTGCGTTATCATCATGTTTTATTATATAAATTAAAAGTATCATAGCGATCGCCTTAAGCTGAGTCATGTTTCCGCTGAATGAAAACCATAGAGGGAAGAAAAACATCGATACCTTTTTTCGCCAACAGCATGGAATACAGTATTCTTACTAAGTACATAAGATCTCATATCCTTTAAGAATACGTGAGGCAAGTTTCTATAAAACACTAGAAGAATTAGGAAGTGGTGGAACCATGGTAATAAAGTAAACAAGAAGAAACAAGAAGGTTGTAGTCACGTTAGCCTGCGTAGTATAGCGGTTTTGGCTGGGCGCGCTAAGTAATATATAGGCGGGCGAGGGCAGAGAAACCGCGAGGAGATTGGGGCTTCGCCGCTCAGTAGCTCCCGACAAAACCGTCATGCTACGCAGGCTATAATAACACGTCATGTCGGAAGCGTGGGACAAAGAAAATTGAACCTCGTTCCCAGGGCCTTGGCGTCACGTCACTTTTACGCGCGCAACCCTAAAGCAAAGAGGACTAGGCTTTGAAAAACTCTGTATCATAACTGGGTGGGGTGGGGGAGGGGGGCTGGATTAGCTAGGCTGGATAATATCAGAAGATGATGATATCAGAAAAAAATAGAACAGACTTGAAAGAAACGAAAAAAAGGACCCGATGAGGATGAAAGGGTTATCCTTTCTTGACTTCCACTAAAAACAGATGGGGTAATCAAACCGGGGATAGACTGGGAAAAGGGTTTCAAAAAATTAAGGAGGGGCCGAAATCATTCTCTCAATCGCCCGAACTAAATCACCCACAGCCCCCAATCACCACCAACCCCCCCCCCCCCCCCCTATAACACCTTCCTCAAAAGATAGCGTAGTGGCCCTTGACAGCCCAAGTCTCTGGCACCCATGGCTTTCATTACGGGCAAGTGACCAGCATTAAACCAGACGAATTACAAGCACTAACTTAGAGTGCCGATTTGACTGATTGATACCTGTTCTGACTCCGTTGCTGCTTTCGTGACTTGCCTTAGTGTAAAGAGAGAGGGGGTGAAGGGGGTTTTGCGTGATACGGGATTATTAAAGTGCTTTTAATTTTCGTGAAAGGTGAAAACACGACATAAAAATTCGGGAACTGTGAATGGTTTGTTGTCGTGATACGTGAACTTCAAAATCTTTTATCCGATATTCGTGATTTTTAACTAATGTTTTCGTGAAAATAGATGGTAAGTTGCAACTGAAGAAACATTTTACAATGAAGCTAGTGGACCTTCAAATGAACTTGTTTAAAAAGTCCTAAACGACCTAAAGTCGTTTCCTAATATAAATGTCCTAAATGACCAAGCCTGCGAGAGCAGACGCCTTTTTCACTTTTTCGGCTCTTGTTTCACCCTCCGAGAAAAGAGCGCTTGCGATCCCAAGTTGGGAAACAATTTCCGTGAATCATACATAATTCAGCTCTTATTTTTGTGGAGCTAACAAGCGTGGAGTCTTTGTAGGGATCTCAGGTGCAATGGCGACGGTGACAATGACCAAGTTTTTAAATTTGAGGGAGTAATAAATTATGTAGATCCCATGGGATTTCTTGGAGGTAAAGAACGAATTCGACTATCCCATTAACAGTAATCAAGCATTCATCCCTTGAAGTTTCATCATTGAGTACGGCTGGTTTGAAGAGTCCACTACGGAGTGGTTTAGGATCCCCGACTGAAATAAAACTCTCTTAGAAACTGACCGCAGAAGGGAGAAAAACTTATAGTGTTAAACAATGACGACAATAAAGATGAAATGAATTTTCGAAGAGCAGTTACACTTCGTAGCGGAACAACGGTGAAAGCCAAGTCAAAGTTCTTCTAAGTTCCAAAGGAAGGTTAAATGGCATTGCCTTTTACTACTGTCCGCCATCATTCGTCATCATCAGTTTTCCTCACCGACATTATATATTCAGCTGACTTCTGTTACTTAGTAACGGCACAGGAAAGAACGGGAAGCGTGAGACAATGATACACGCGAAGGAGAGCACCTTTTCCCCTCGCGTGTTTCCCTCGCGCGCAACGTTCTTTATTGAGCCCATTATGATATCGACATGATACTTCCCAGCGCCTACTACGCAGGCTACTCGATCTCTGCACTGGCTGTGCAGGAGGCTCAAAAAGCGAAACATCGACCCTACTATCAACTCTACAGACAGCAGCATTCTGAACAGGCCTGGCTATGCGCTGTGTCCTTTTACTTCGAAGATTTCCGTGAAACGTGAACACGGAAGTTTCATCACCGTGATTTTTGCTTTTTAAAAAGTCTTGATGCGTGCGTAACCCCGCTTACCTCCCTACTGAGTCTAGAGAGAGACCTCAGATTGCCATCATTTGGTTGTTTGACAGATGTATATCTCTTAACTCCACTTACTCGAAAATGATATATTATGAGATAGGCAGCAAACGTTCCCTGCGAATTAGAAAGGCTAAATGACAACGGAGGACGAATTATATAACGCAGGCTACTGTCTGGTCACGCACGCGTGTCACGCCATGTTGTCAAATTATACAAAAGAAGTCCATCTGTCAAAACTTCCAACATCGCACGTACTTGTCATCAAAATCTCATAAAAGGTTTCGTCCAATTTTCAGAGAATATGGCGCCTGTTGCAGCGAGTTTTATCTTCGTTATCGCAGGTAAGATTGCATCTTTTGACCCTCAAAGCCCCACTTTATTAACTTTAATATTCGTTGATTACCGAACTCTCGGAGTTATTCCATTGTCTACGTGCTGAAAGCAGCACCGTGAAAAGAATGATGATCTGTGTTTCTGTCGCGTCGACTACAAGGTTTTCTGAGCGATTACGGCACTTTATTAGGCAATTTATGAACGAATATTGAAGTCTTCCTAAGATCTGTAATTTCAAATTATCGTATTCCTTCCTGTTGAACGCATGGTGCTTGTTTTTTATTTCTCCGCTGAAGAAAATAGTCATGCATGCGTATGACCAGGCTAGTATGCATTGATCTTTCCCTGTTCATTTGTTTCTGGCCTTATTTCAGCATTTGATTTTGCGAAAATTGCTTAAAATAGTCACTGCTAAGCCTTATTTGTATTGATCTTAATTCTTAGACCGCAATGACGAATATTCTTTCGCTTTACATTCGAAATGAATAGTGTTTACATTTGCCCGAGCGATGCATTTCAAGTTCGATTATGGTTATGAGTTGAAGACATTCCTATTGTTCATGAACTTGGTAATTTTGGAGCATTGAGTGGGCTTTTTGTTACTTAATTTATACTTGATGGCTCGTAGTTTATGGTAAACAGTAAGGTACTTCACATCTCTGACTATATGTAAAGGAAAAAAACATTTATGAAGTGCCTTGCAAAAATGTACTACCAAAGGTCATGTGGATTGAAACAGGCCTATGATACTTGTATCGCGTGCTAGCGCGTGTTCAAAAGCACTCAGCAAACCAGCATACATAGTGCAAAGTATATCTTATGGAAGCTAGTATTTGGTTGATTTAAAATGTCGACAAGCTTAGGTTTTTATTATCCAGTCCCTTTTACAAGTAACGAAACAGCTTGAAATCTGAGAAAAAGCCGGGGAAAAAAGACAGACTTATTTTAGTTCGCACAATAAGTAGATCTTCAAGCGTATTCGTTGACTGATGTGCCGACACTCGAATATGCCCCACAGTTTAGTCGCACTGGAAATTGTTTATTTTAAAATTGTTGTGCAAGGGAGCGCGCGAAGAGGAATAAGAAATGTGGCTGGATTAATATTTTGGAACTTTGCCATGTCACACAATTCATCCACAGGTTACCCAAGTTCTTCAAGTTTTAAGTTAGTGTCACGTTATTTGAGTGTTGCAATAGCCATATGCCCATTAATAAAGCAAATTAATTGTACACTTTTGTGTAGGGAATAAATTAGAAGGAAACGTTACACTTAGTGACTTTTAATAAGAACTGCTTATCCGAAGTGCACAGTTGGTAATATTTCTTTACATATATCTATGGTACAGTTCCGTCTTCTGCGAAAGCCTGGGCTAAATTTTATACAAGACTACAGAAAACCCAAGGCAGAGGAGGCTCTAGAGCATTTCCAGTTCAAACTTTTATTTTAACTAAACAACTAGGACAAAGTAATTCATGTTTTCATTTTTTTTCATTCCGAAGGGTAGTAGAACAGATAAATCAGGTTTATTCATTGACACTCCATTACTGATTTTTTTGAGTATGACATTTTATTTGCACTGAGGAAAAATAAAATTAAAAAAGAAAGACATGAAATTTGGCAGACCTACTCACCACTTAAAGACGAATAAGTCTTGTCTTGGACCTGGTGAGATCTCCTATGGAAATAATTTTTGGGAAGATGACTTCATCAAATTTGAGGCTGGTCGTTTTTTTGTTGGAAAAACGGATTCTGAAGGTGGGCCCAAGACTACATCAATGTGTTTTGTCATGATAACTTACAATGATCTCACTGAGTTTTTGTCAATGATATTTCCAAATGGTATATACCATTTGGAAAAAAGAAAAAAATGCAAAGTTCTTGAAGTTAATTCTTTTAACAATTAAGCGCCGTGGGGTGCCTGGAGGTGAAAACTTTTTACATCTTTAGAAAGTTGGAAGTATAAATAACCAAAGCAAAGAGTTAAAGTTAAAACACATGCAGAAGAAATATTTTATTTTATTTTTTGAAAAGAGGTCATTTTTGCCGGTGCAGGTACTAAGTCCTCTCTCTTTGTGTCCCTGGATAACTAGTGGGAAAACAAAACTCAAGAAAAAAGGTTAAGTGGATAAGATCACAGATAGTTAAATGTATGTCACAAGAAAGCACGGGATGTTCAACTGATCATCTTTCAGAGCAATAATAAATGGAGTAAAGCATAATCCAGTCCTTAGTCTTATTAGGCTTGAGTTATTGGTAGAATGAAATTTTCCACCTTGAAAGGAAAAAAGAAGAAAGCAGTGGCGGATCTAGGGGGCGGGGCCAAACCCCCCCCCCCCCTCTTACCCCCTTTCAGACCTGACTCTTGTTGGAGACTGAAATTCCCACATCGACAGGATCTTATATCATTTTTTATTAACTGGCTGATTTTTAATGAAATGCGCGATGCATTTGTACATGGGTAATAGGATGATTTTTAGTGATATTTGGCATAAATACCACGAGTGATATTTCAAAATTGTTATCAGTAATTTCACGAGCCGTTAAGCGAGTGAAATTTTAGACAATTTTGAAATATCGCGAGTGGTATTTATGCCTAATATCACGTACAAATCATGCTATTATTTGTTTATACTTCTGCCTGCGAAAGGTTTGTAATTTTCACATCCAGGTATTTCAAAATTAAGCTGAAATACCACTGCTCTAAGCCAATCAAATTGCAGAAATTTCTCATGTAGTAGTATAATGTCACTAAACTAAATTCCAGGGATATTCAGAAATGTAATTTTTTGTGGATACCCTCCTATGATCTGGACCCCCCCAATCAAAAATTCCCGTATCCGCCCCTTGAAAGTAATATTACTTCGTGTGATGTGCTGCTTTGTGAGAATCCTGGATGCTCATTAGCTGATTGGAGGATGTTATTGGGCTATAATACGCGATTTTCGTTCATCTCGATTTATCAATGAGTTCTTGTACCTATTTGTTACCGTTTTATCAACTTTATGCTGAAGTTTCAAGTAAGATATCTAGCATGAGACGCAGTGTTTCATCACCAGATGAAACACCGATTTCCAAACACTCATTGAACATCAGTTTCCTTTGTATTTTCTTTATGAATTATTAATGCGAAGTCACTTTTTAAGGGCGCGACTGTTAGTGACGTTTTCGCCACCTCGCCGTAGTAGTATCTTTGATTCTACATCTTAAACCCGTTATTGTTACCCAACTAGGAGACTAAATAATGGAGGTGGCTGAATTACGAACAATAAGTCGACATGGTAACCGCTAGCCTGCGTTGCAGCCCGGCCACGCATTGTCTAGACCATTGGTATAGTCCGTCTGCGAATTTAAGTACAAAAGCTCTCTCCTCCGCAGAGGCTCCCGCTGGGTACCCCAATAAAATACAGTCGACTGGGTCGATAATTTGAACCCTCGCTAACTCGAACCCAATTCGATTTCCCCTTGATTTCCTTCATAAGTTTACTGTAATTTTACCCTCGCGGTAACTCAAACCCTCGATAACTCAAACCTCCCACTAACTCGAAGTAATTTTTGTTTCCCCTCAGATCATTTCTATACAATTTTACCCCCGATAATTCAAACCATGTTTAGAGCGCTTAAAAAGTCGGGGGAAAACAGTGTACTAGCGTCCAAAACATTGAATTTTGAATTTCCCATTGACGTGTTGTAGGCATATAGTTTACTGTTTGTCTGTGACAAATCTAACGTGAACAGCTTTACTTTGATTCTCAAAACAGTAAAACGCATGCTCTATTTGGGCTATATTTTGTTACTTTACGTTCTGATTTATAATCTAGAGGTATCTTTCTATATTATTGTCAGCTAACATTTCTACAAGTAAATGTGATTAAAATGTTCACTGTACGGTAAACAATGTTTTTTTTCTTACTTCTGGCTATTTTCTTGGAGCTCCCGATAACTTGAACTCCCGATTACTCAAAGTTTTTTCAATTTCCCTTGATGGTTCGAGTTATCGGAAGTCGACTATAGCAACAATACCCCCATCCTGGGGGTTCATTGATCTTCAGACGGCGCGTATTTAAGCCGGGGCTGAAAAGTAACTTACCGCGGTGAATAAAAATAGGCAAGTTAGCCTTTTGAAACAAGAAACGATTGGCATTGTTTTTAACTGAGACTTTGCAATTGTAATTTTGCAATAAGGGTGACGCGTAAAGAGGTTTGACTGTGCTTATTTTATACGTTTTTATTTGGTCTCCACTAAATTGGCCTTTAGATCGTGTTCTCATGACATCACGGCGGCCATATTGGTGCACCAATTTGTACTCATTTAGAAATCTTCTTTTGTTCCAAGGAATTTGCCCAGTTGTTGACCATTTGATAAGCTGTCTCGCAGACGCAATTTAACCCTGGTTAGTAACGTCTGTGAAGCATTGTCCAAGTCCTTGTTCTGAGTCCCGACAGATTCAACTAATTACCGAAAATGCGTTTCGAATTTCCTTTCATTCTGATTGGCAAATCGACAATGGCTTTTTTAACAGACCAATCATGGCGCGTACTCAAATCCTGGTACACAGGTGGGCGCCCAGAACAAAGATTTCGGCGCTGTTTCGCAGACGGACTTAACCAGAGTTTAGTTTTGTCTGGGGCGCACGCTAACCATTTGAGTGAACATGTATGATCTGTTGAGTTACTGTCTACTCATATTTAATGCTTATTTATTTCCGGGTTCATTCTTCAGGTTTGTTAGTACAAGTAAGTGGGACAAATGTTGGCGACTGCAACGTTACCTACTTCGTATCCCAAGGGTATGAATGCCAGGGGCAAATGATATCAAATCTCAAGAATAATCCGAGCACAAACTGTAGGTACGTCTGTTATAGTTGAAATGGATTCGAATTTACCAAAATCCAACAACAACAACAACGACTTCATTCAACTTTATATTTTTTATAATATGTTGTCCCAACAGAAAAATCTCCATTCTGCGAACTTTATTCAAATCTTTCAATTATACGTAAAAGGGCAATGCTTTATGCCCGTAATTAGCGGAAGAGCTAGTTGAGACGGGCAGAAGAGAAGAGAAATTCTTCTCCATATCTCCGGAAATTTTAACATCTAAACTTTCAAACAGTTCTAAACAAATGGATTTTTCGAGAAAGTTGCAGTACTTCCTCAACACGCTGATTCCGGATATTTTTGAAAACGAAGATTGCGGTGACTGCAAAGGCTTGACGTGATATAGGCAGAGCCTCCCTTTTCCCTCCCTCTCCAAAAATCAAAAGGAAGCTTACAGGGTGCGTCTTTCTCAGCCGTCGTTTGATTGTCGTTCTTTCTCTGGGTATATAAAAATTAAATTAAGTCTCTTGCGTTCCATTCAGGAGTTTCTTTTTGCATCATGTCCCCCTTTTTCCGGAGGGGGGTACTCCCTTATATGGCCTATACGGGGATGTGCCGCTGGACAGGGTATGGCTTTTTGACCTCTCTATCCTAAAAAGGGTATATAATTTTACGGCAGTCTTTCCTAAACAGGATATATAATTTTGCGCCAGTCTGTCCTAAACAGGGTATATAATTTTGTGCGAGTCTGTCCTAAACAGGGTATATAATTTTGCGCCAGTCTGTCCTAAACAGGGTATATAATTTTGTGCGAGTCTGTTCTCAACAGGGTATATAATTTTGTGCGAGTCTGTCCTAAACAGGGTATATAATTTTGCGCCAGTCTGTCCTAAACAGGGTATATAATTTTGCGCCAGTCTGACCTAAACAGGGTGTATAATTTTGCACCAGTCTGTCCTAAACAGGATATATAATTTTGCGCCAGTCTGTCCTAAACAGGGTATATAATTTTGTGCGAGTCTGTCCTAAACAGGGTATATAATTTTGCACCAGTCTGTCCTAAACAGGGTATATAATTTTGCGCCAGTCTGTCCTAAACAGGGTGTATAATTTTGCACCAGTCTGTCCTAAACAGGGTATATAATTTTGTGTGAGTCTGTCCTAAACAGGGTACATAATTTTGCAAATCTATCCTAATTATAAACAGGATGAAATTTGTTTGTGCTCAAAGTATACAAAACCAATGACTATAACGTGAATTTGCTCTATTGCAATTGCCAATATAAAATGGCTTAAAAAGAAGACGGCGTACATTTTGTCCTTTGTCTTAAACAGAGTAATAAGACTGAAGGTGTTGTCCTCAACAGGGTATGCATTTTGAGATTTTTTTTTCTTAAACAGGGTCAGGGTTTCAAACTCTCAGCGGCTAACCTATACCTAATTATTCGTCGAGCCCCCCCCTCCGGTCCATTTAAAACATTATAACTCTTCACGTCTCATCAAGCATTTTTGATATTTGCCGTATTTCCTCATAGCTTAGCGAATTTATGTTCTTGTCATAGTTACGAGTATAAAAAGGAAAAAACTTGTATGAAGAATCATATAGACAGCTGCTTGGACATATTTGTCGATCACGTGACGTCACTCCTACTTCACCAAGTCTATCACTGTGGAGACTTGAAGTACCAGCCCTCGTTCGTCAATAATCAAATTCTCAAGATGATTAAGTGCAGTCAGAATGCGTTCATGGACACAGACCTGTGCTGGAGATATTTTCGTGAAAAGCTCAACGCTAACCGAAGTGACCCGTCGTTATGTTGGTAAGGAAATTTATGTCTTTGTAAGGCGTAATTTATCAAGTACCGTAAATCCTCTATTAAGCCCCCGGGAGGCTTATTTATCCTAAGCCCCTTTGAGGGGGGCCTAATAAAGGCGGGGGGACTTATTTTAGAGGGGGTTCATTTAAATTAGAAGGGACGATGGTATCAGTTCTCCATAAAAAAACACTAGAATACAAAGTGGAAAAGCTCAAGTACAAGAATTTTTAGGTCATGCAGCCGAGGATCTAAATCAAATCCGAAATAAACCATCCCGGATCAGTCCACACGAAGTTTTACGACAGTCGTGATTGATTAATACAGTCTATCATTCATTAGGGAAGAATAATTAGGGGAGGGGGCCGGGAGCTTAATAGAGCGGAGGCCTTATTAACTTTTTTCCCCTGAAAAAGGGGAGGAGGGTATTAGAGGGAGGGGGCTTAATAGGGATTTACGCTAAGTCTTGTTAATATTTGTTTCTTTGTTTTCACTCCATGGGTTCGAATGCAGTCGTCTCACAGGATTGAGAGGGGTGTATTCGAAGGGGATCAATATAGGTTTCTGGGAAACTTACCACCTACCCCTCCCCTAACTCAACGTTAACATTTGCGTCAAAATGTTGGGTTGGGGAAGGCGTAGCTGGGCAGTTTCCCAGAAACCTAAACTGATCCTTCGAAGGCTACACATGTGCTTGAGTGACTAAAAGAGGCTGTATAAAGATTAAAATATAAGGACCAGTGACCTTTATTTCGCTTGAGCCGTATAATCATTGTCAATATGTTTGTTAATTAACAATTAATGAATGAGGCTGGGTATCTTATGAAGAATTATGGAGATCAAGGAGGGTGTTGTCCGTCGAGGCCGTAGGCCGAGGCCCATAACACCCTCCGAGATCTCCATAATTCTTCATGTGATACGAAAGCCGAATTCAATAATTGTTATATTATTCATTTAAAATAATTCTTAGTTTAAAAATATAGCTAAAACAAGCTTACTTGCATCGATGTTAAGTTTATGTTTAGGTTTGTCCAGCTCCGCAAATATTCTCCAAATAGCAGATGTTGCCCTCTGAGTTGTCTTCTTGCTGTTTTTGCTATGTTTTTAGCCATTATTTCGCCTAGTTCCAGCTGTAGTTCTTACTCCTGAAACGAGTGAAGTGTCCGCCACTTTAGTTTTTTATAACGAAAACAACTCAATCTCGTCCCCAGGTCTTCTCGGTTAACGGTGCCATAACCTGTAGAAGGCTGCATGTTTGACGTCATTTCTTCGTTAAACACAAAATTCTTCCAAATTTGGTCATCAGTAACTGGTTATGGTGAATTATGCGTGCGCTTTTAGCCAGTCAGTTTTGGGGAAATATTTTGAATGAATAATAATGGTGTATTTCATGAAGTTATCAAGACTGAATTGGGTACTTACCATTTACTCTTGGGATAAACGGTTATTCCGGTTGGAAAATTAAATGGCTCGGGCCACTCCGCGGTTTGGGAACCTTGGGAAAAAGTGGGCTATGATTTGAGGCGATTCAATTTTTCCACTTTTTTAGTCTGTTCAGCTGTTTTGGATAAACTTCGCAGCGATTCGTTCTTCCGCCTCGTCAAATGTTATAGTTTCTTGTTTAAGAACAAGATTTCCACCCGGGTGATAGGTTCTGTTAGTTGTAAATATGTCTTGTAATTCCATTCTGTAAGACTATTTTGTAACTGAAGCTTGTTTTTTTCTGTAATTATTATTTATCCACATAGTTTATTTAGGTTACTTTACAAGAAATTATCATTATGACTGCTGTAACCTTTCCTCTCCGCCCGCCTCGTCTAGCTTTTGCTATGATTTGCGGGCGGAGATGGCAAAATGAGGAGTATGAAAATAAAATATAGTGTGTGTGAAATGGTAAGCACCCCTGGAAGTCTTTGAAATCCTCTTTGTCAAGCCTGTTTGTTTAGCATCATGTTTTGAGTTTCGGGCAACCTGGTCTAGAAAGTTGTCAAATCAAGTTAATGTCGTGTAACATACCAATCCTTTTATCTATCCTTTTTTTTTTTCAGGGAGTATGCTGTGGCTAAAGAATGCATATTAGAAAAAGCCAAAGCAAATTGCCAAATCTGTCAAGAATTTACAAGAGATACTTTCAATCCGTTTTGTCCCAATAACACAGACCCAGAAATGCACCTGTATGGTATGTCACCATCTCCCCATTATTGTGTTTAAGAATAGTTTGGCGTTTTTCGCTCGCTAGAAGTGAAAGTTGTTGATTGCTTTTGAATTTCCTGACGCATTATTACGTATACAAGGAACGCGCGATGTAAAGGACGTCCGCAGGTACCCATAGAGAGGCCCACAGATAGATATTTGCAGGAGCAACAGTCGTTAGTGGTTCGTCCCCCTTACTATGCATATATATCAGGGAGATTACGCATTGACAACGGCGACTGCACCGAAAGCATCACTTTTATTATGAATTCGCTTTTTTATTTTTTCAAACATTTGTTGTTGTTTTGCTTAATAAAACTATTGCTTTTTTGACGCTCTCGTTGCCGTCGCCGTCGTCGTTGCTAAAGCTCCCTGTTATTGAAACAACAACAACAACTTTATTTTCTGAAATAGTTAACGAATATTGAATTAAAGTGAACTGAAAGGAACATATGAAATATTTCACGCAACCCGCAGTTAGCTTTAGCTAATCGAGCCGGGAGGTGAAGTGGAAAAGAACGAAAAATAAGAAAATAAGTTTATTTGACTGGAATTTATGTTGCTTTTATTAGGATGTGAAGAAATCAAGAAACCCTTGACATGCTCCCCCTATACAGTCTACAAGGTCGCCAGAGATTGTGAGAAAAACCTCTTAAAAGCCTTCCTGGTCGACAAAGGAAAACCAGATTGCGGGTTAGAGCTACGTATTAGTTTGTTCTTTAGTCTTTTAAATGCTTTAGTACGGCCAATTAACTCTTAAGGTGTTTCGATATAGTTTTCAGAGGCCATACCGATATTTTTCAATCGCTTTGAAAGTGATTTTATCCTTGTCTGATCAACACCGATGATTGACTATAGATTGAAATTTGTCGAAATGTAGGTTTTAGTAAAATCGATATTACCATGCAACAATAAACAAAAAAATTTGAAATTGACAAACGCCTAATTTTGCGCGATCTAGACCAGCTACTGAAAATCCAACACTAGGAACTTAAAGTTTGGTGTTTAGCAAATAACCCCCGTGAGAAGTAAAAAATTCTGCTTGTTTGAATTCGACTAAAACGAAAATATATTTCAAACCTGAAATATTCAATAGCCGTGATAGACTAATTAATAAAAATGTTACAAATGACTCAAATTAATCTTAAGTAGCGTGAGAATGCTGCTTAATGTCATATTTCGATGCTAGGAAATTTTAGTTCATTTTCGTTCTTGCGATCTTAAAAACTAACCCGTTTTCTCACCACCTGTCTAAGTGCAACTTCATTCAAAATTTTGACTTTTAGCGCGTTTTTGTATATCTCTGAAACGACTCGAACGAATTTTTTTAAAATCTCTTCACATAGTATTGTCAATGTTTTACATTCAAAAGATGCGATAAATTCAAACTAAAATGTACTAGTCATGGAGGTATGTAAAGTGCGCATTATTTTAGACTGCAAAACAGTCCGAATTTTTGCGTATTCAAGTACGCGCGAGCAGTCAAACAAAAGGTCTGGAATGAGGCTGAAAACAGAGAGCGAGACTGGGGAGAGACGCTAAAAATACGGACTGTCCGTTTTGCATACGTTATATTCGTTCGAATTACCCGCTTCTCCCAGCCACGGGCAATTCCCATTGGCTAAATTTCGATGCAAGCTGTCACCAAGCTGTCAAGTAATGTTTTCAACATGTCATTCACGTTGTTCCATACCGTGATGAATTGCTAAAGCTTTCGCTGTAAAATGACAGATGTTGATCGCCTGGATTTGCTCGCAAGAATTAGGATTCGTTTTAAAATCGGAGCAGAGGGAAGCTTTGGAGTTGCTACTCAGGGGAAAGGATGTTTTCTGTGTTCTACCAACAGGATTTGACAAAAGCCTTATTTATCGGATGTTTGTTCATGCAAATCTTCAAGTTCCGTGCAACGGCCGACCGTCATTGTTATCTCGCCTGGCTAAAAAAGCGGGATCGGTAGGAAACACACGACTTTTACCTCATGCAAACATGCCGCTTGTTCCAATGAATTGTTTTCTCTGTCGAGTAGATTATGCTTTGGAGGAAAACGTTTTGACTGAGCAAATGTGAATTTTGGCCGCTTATTAAATATATTTCATACTGAGAGGTCGTGACACGCATATTGATTTTCTCTGGTAGGCATGATTTGCCCTCTGACGCAAGAGCATTTTCTTTCTTGGCCTCTTTGGAAATGTAAAGCTCTTCATTGCGGCTGATTAAGGGTTTTAGGTTGTTTTATTTCTCCAAAGTGCCCCCTGGATTTGAATAATTTTAAGCGATTTTCTTTGTGTCCGTGAATGTGACTTTTTCCTGCAATGTTTTGTCACGCTGGGCCCAGCTCGTTAGCGTTTTTGGCAGGATTTTAAATTCTCACAGATAGTGATTTACAGAGCTAAATCACCAAGACGTGGTTTGGAATGAGGTAATTTACTCATTCTTTTCAATCGCAATAATTGTTCATTGTCAGTTGGCGTGTTCAGTTCTTCTCTAATTTGCGAAAGCATCGCCGTGCAGTTTCCCGGGGCAGTTTCTAACCTTTGTTCCGCAGGGAGAGCAAAACTGCTCTTGTGGAGAAAGATTCTCCTTCCTCGAGGACAACGAAAAGTTCGTTTTTCAGTAGGTCGGCCCACTTTGGTAACGTTTCCCCTTTTCTGGTAGGCGCAACAAACGCATTTTCCGAGCTTATCCATCCATTCGTAAAATTGCCGAACTGTGTTTTGAAACAACAGCCGCACATTCTACAATTTGTACTCCAAAGCCCTCGGCTCTTTCGGCTTTCTCCCTCTTCGAGGAGCAGGCACAGGCTTTGTTGTCGTACTGCCACTTTCACTCTTTTTTGATCCTCCACTATATATACTACATTTCACTATATACACTACATTTCACAGGGAAGCAACGCTAAAAACTGCTTTAGAATTACTGGATTACAGCGTCAATAATAACACGCGAGTCTATCAAATTCACAAAAAGGGCGGAGTTGCGAACAGATTTTTGACAGCTCGACGACATTTTTGAACCCCCTGGTCGGAACGAACTCATTGTATGAAAAACGGACAGTCGGTTTTTTTTCTCTCGCCTCACACGCCCGTAGGGCGTGTGAGGCGCGTAAGACTCTTACGCCCCGCTTTACCGATTTCTTTACTGATTTTGAGAAAAAAACCGACTGTTTTGCAGTCTAGCATTATTTTGGAAGAATTAGCATAACGTCAAAACAGTGAATGTTGTCACGCAGATTTGTGACCGGTAGGTAGGAAAGGTTTGTCTCGAAATTTCAAGATGTTGCAGTGAATCAATCTTAATGAAAGTTTCCGAAATTAATATATACATTATGAAAATTATGTGAAGAGATAGAAGAACGAAAATACACCAAAATTTCGTGTTATCGAAACATGATATTAAGCAGCATTCTGACGCTACTTAAGAATAATTTTATTCATTTATAACGTTTTTATTAAATAATCTATGACGGCTATTGAAAAATTTATGTTTTGAAATATATTTTCGTTTTAGTCGAAATCAAACATATAAATTTTTTTACTTCGTTGCGGAGATTGTTTACCAAACACCAAACTTTAAGTTCCTAGTGTTAGATTTTCAGTAGCTGGTCTAGATCACACAAAATTCGGCTTTTATCAATTTCAAAGTTTTTTGTTTATTGTTGTCATAGTAATATCGATTTTACTTAAAACTACATTTTCACAAATTTCAGTCCAGAGCCAATTACTGGTGAAAATTTTATAGCGATCGGACAAGGAAAAAAACACTTTTAAGGCGATTGAAAAATATCGGTATGGCCTCTGAAAAACTGTATCGAAACGCCTTAAAAGACCGATTTACACGATTCATGCGCAAAAAACTAATTGGCACGAAACATTCACCGGCCAAACGGTTGCAGGCAAACTTAAACTCCTGTGAAATTGGAATTATTTGCTTGGTCGTTTGGTTATCTTTGTTTTTTCACTGGTATCTTTGGCTTTCACGTCGCCAACTTGTGGTTTGGCGGGGCGCCTTGAATCTTGTACGCCGGATCAATAGCCGGGGGGGGTGGGGGTAGGTACTCCCTTAGAAGAGACTAATGGGGATGTGCCGCTCGATGGGGTCGTATTTTCATGACTGGAGTGACTATAATGGGGTTGCATTTTCAATAGAGTTACTAGAATGGGGTCGCAGATTTTTGGTGTAAGTAGGGATTCAAAATGGGAAGATTCTCGGTTGAAAAGATCAGAAAGTTGTTGTTTACTAAGTTTAAAAGGAAACTGGCTTTGACCGCATTACATTCCGTTCTTGAAACCACTACTTAAATATTAACCAGTTACTCAATAGCACAAAACCACGGGTCCAGAACAAAGTCCACCGAAACATCACTGCTACGGCATTTACTTTTCTATTGGATTGTTACCGTCCATCCAAGATAATTTTTGGATGACCTTCTTCAGAAAGGATTGACAAGGTAGATGCATAAATGTGACTAAGTGACTAAGTTGGGATCGCGAAAATTACATTTTCCAAAAAGTGAGTAGGATGGAGTCTATAATTGGCCAAAAAATAGACTAAAATGGGGTAGGGGCTCTGAGAGGCCAGCGACACCAACCCAGCAAACATTAACCCAAGTCCCCCCCCCCCCGGGGCTCAATAGTCGTATTGGGTAGTCCAGGTAAACCTGACATATTTTTGGTTGCGTTCTTCCGCTTAGTTTTGTTAGGATTAGTTTTGTAAGCTAAAAGTAACATTTACAGTGTATGGTGGTAATTTTATTCGACTCTTAAACATGGTTTTTTCTATATTTTTACTTGCATATGTCACATTAAGAGCAACGTACACAGCACTGAAAAACTGCCTCGATGAACAGTTAGCCCGAATGTGCAAAAATGACACTAAAAACCCGCGGGTGGCGAGCAGTGTACGAAAGGCTGTGTTAGCAGTTCTGCGTGGACACAGATTTTTTTGTGAACCTCCAGTGGATCTGCGAGCAGTTGACCTTGACTATAAAGCGAGACCTCTGTATCCATGCAGTGAAGAGTTTTTGAATGAGATGGAAAAATGCGCTACACCTGTAAGGAAGGAATTCAAGTCACCAGACAGCACTTTTACTAAATTATGCAGGTATTTCTACATAATAATAATTAGGCAGGTATTTGTACATAATAATGATAATTATAACTTTATTTTACTAGTGTCAATGTATTCAGTTTAACAGTTAGCTAATTGAGGACACTTTCCTAAGGGCCTGTTTACATGGAGTGGGGGACCCGGTCTAGTGGGGTTGGTTTCTTTTGTTTTCACGCTCTGGGGGACACAAAACAAAAGAAACCTACCCCACTAGACCGGGGTCCCCCACTCCATGTAAACAGGGTCTTAGAGAGGTAATAGCATAATTTGTGGTGATATTAGGCATAAATACCACGAGTGATATTTCGAAATTGTTATACGTAATTTCACGAGATGTTATTAGGCGAGTGAAAGTAGAGACAATTCTGAAAAATCACGAGTGGTATTTATGCCAAATATCACGTCCAAATCATGCTATTATTTGTTTGCACTACTACCCGCAAAAGGTTTGTAATTTTCACATGTAGGTATTTCAAATTACGCTGACATGCCACTGCTCTAAGCCAATCAAATTGCAGAAATTTCTCATGTAGTAGTGGCACTAATCTATTACATGATTTTTAGATTAATGATCTTACCTAAAACCTAAAACTATGTACTCGAAGAACAATGAACTAGCTCGTTTATGTGAGATTGAACGACATTTTAACAAAGTGGATGGATCCACAAGGCAATAACGATCATCCAATTATCTACGTGCTTGGCCTTGAGGCAAAATGGATTCCTCACGGAATTTTATAAAGATGAACTAGGTATTAAGTATTCAGCTTCTAAATGTACACGACTCAAACTATACACAGGTCACATTAGTTACTATGATTATCTATATTGCTCGAAAGGTCCACACCGCGTATATGTTTCTTGAATGCTTTGAGACTTGTTAAGTTTCTTTGCTCACCACTGACCTTCCACCAAGAAAGGTCTACCTTGTTCTTAAACGCTTATCCGTTTCTGAAGAATATTCAAAAAGCGAGTAGGCTCTAGTTACTAATTTGGTTAAAGATCCATACAAACGTCAGGAGCCGATTAATAGTAATCGGCTCCTGCAAAAGTCTATAATTTTGTGACAGCATCCCACAAAACCTTATAAACTCTTTAAAATTTTTCAGGTTTTCTTTTAAACTGTGTAATTTGTCATGCATCTTCCACTTGGAAGGAACTAATTCGAAAATCACTGTGTTTGCCCAGGAATATCACAGAAATCGTGGAAAAAATTAAGAGTTTATAAAGTTTTGAAGGACGCTGTCACAAAATTACAGGTTTGTATGGCTCTTTAACTACGTTTCAAGAGTCATAACTTGGTCCCTGTTCAACCTTAGTGCACCAAACTTGGTCAAATGACCAATCTCAACATGACCTTTTATATGGTGGTGTCAGTTTATCGATTAGTGTAAATTTGAAGCTCGCCCCGGTTCCCTACGCAACTCCGAAAGATCGTGTTCATGCCCCCTGAGTATCCCATGATACTCCTTAAATCCAATTGATCACGGGTCACGTGGCACTTCCCTGTAGCCTATAATGTAGGGTGGAACCTCCAAAATCTCTGGTACCCAGGGGTGGAGGATCTCCGTAAAAAACTTTGTTGAATCAAATTTCCCACGCGGCACGACCAATCAGAAGCACTACCCAGATCTGGGTAGTGACGCGTCATCAGTATGGGATTTTTTGCGCTCATTTCTCAGACGTCATTTGGCGGGAAAACCAGTGGTAGCGTCGCCAAATGTCGGCTCTTTTCTCAGCCTAGCATCCGCCAAAGTACACTCGTTTTCTGCTCGTTAGATTATCAGTTACACGATTTTCAACTGTAGTTTTGAATCAGTTTTGTGGAATACTTCCCTCGTGGTTGAAAAGATCCCTTGTCACTTTCTAATCAACTTAATGCCATAGTTTGTTCTTCTTTTTTCCTATTTTTTAGACATTTTAGAACGGCTGTAGACTGCTCCAGTGCTGCGCAGAAATCTTATTGCACATTCGATAAACAGACCGGGGACGTTATCCAATATCCTTACACCACGTTCTGCACAGATGCAAACCAAATGGAAGGAAGTACCACAAAGTCAATTGCAACATCTTTCTCAGCAAGCAGGAGCCGATTACTGTCAGCAAGCCTTTATTTTATTGCCTTTGTAATATGCTTAACGTTTCCTCTTGGTGATCGCTAAGCAGTTATAAAAACAGCAGAAGCTCGTCTCTTGTGTGCGCATGACTTGGGTAGTTAACACACAAAAACAACGACGGTTCTTATGCCAGGCTTTACCATTAATCCCATTAGATTTATGCCAATTTTATAAAATATACGTCACTTTTCATTACCTAATTTACCATAGTCATTTACCACACAAAGAACAGATCGATTGATTCTACATATTTTGGAAGTATTAGTCTGCTCCAAGTTGATTTTTTTTTTGTCGGTGTAACTAAATAATTCATCTTTGAAATGCTTTGTTGTTGAGTTTTATTTTTTCTTCGTGGACTGGAGATTTCTTCATGTATACCTTGCATTAAATGCTGTTTAACAAACAGTTATGGTTAATCCCTTTCTGCCTCTTCCCAACCCAGGTATACTTGGCCTAACCAAGCAATGTGTTCAGTTGGTGCGCGTTTATTCAAGGCATAAGTAATATGTAAAAAAACAGCGAAAGTAACGTAACAAAAGCTGGGCTGGGTTGTTCAAAGTAGGGTTAAGATAACCCAGGGTTAGTGTAAAATTTCAATTCAGATATGAAAGCTTAAAAAGCAAATTAAGTTGTCCACAATTTGATGATTTGATGCTCTAAAGAGAGTCGAGAAAATTATCCTGAAAAATGCTTTTGAACAAAAGAAATAGAAACCTGGGTTAAAATTTAACCCTGGGCTAGCGCTAATCGGTCTTCGAACAACTGGGCCCTAAATTTTTAACGCCCATTTCCCTTCCAATCATGCAGTCATTTCAACAATATTAAATTGAAAGTCATCAACTTGCTTTTGTTAGGGTTCGGCGCTTGTTAGTATCGTTGCTCTGAACTGCGGCGCTGGTCGTTGACAAAGAAATTTTCATGTTTTACTTTCCCTCACCCTTTCAATGGGTTCTTACTTTGGTTTTCAAATAAACTTTTCCTCAGCCAGTGTAAAACTTTAGCTGCCTGCGTAGCTGGCTTATTGTATCGCGCGAGAATGAATTTGGATGTAAATCCGCGAGAATGATCTGAATGGAGAATGACTAAGATGCGACAACTCATTAATCAACTCTTAATCGATATAATTCGTATCCGCTGCCCGCGAAAATCTCTTCGCCCTCAACGCTCGCTTTGCGTGAGCACAATGATCCAGCTAGCAACATAACTAGCAAAACGTAAAACCAGCCGCCGCATCTTTTTGTAAAGAACCAGACCTCAGTAATGTTAAGTGAAGATCAGGGCAAAAAAATAACTCAGTAGCACTGTCAGGTTTGTCACACCAAACGTTTTGCGGTCCTCTTAGTGACGTCCTTTTACGTTAGCTTACTACTACATCATCGATTGCGGCAAATCTTTAACGTTTGACTAAGATTCAGTGGGACTCGGTCCTCTCATCTTTTTCCACCTCTGTTAATCCATTCGGCTTGGTTTGAGTATAATTGACTGCTCGGATGATTGTTGTTTACTGCTTAAAAAGAGAGATAATCATTCGTTCCGAGATAAATTGTTTTGTGCTAAAATATCTTGGTCAGCAACGTAATGGAAACCATTTTGTTAAGGTAATACATAATAGGGGCTTGGTGCAAACAGTGGCAAAGACACTTACACCTGTCTCTCGTTAATGCAATTTGACTTTATTTCTAATTCAAATGTGTGTCTGTGCTGGTTACATTCCGTTCATATGATTGATTGCACGTCTGTTAGAAGCCGTATAAAGCTTAGTTTTTGCCCTGCATACACTAGGGGATTCAGATTTTCAAGGAAGTGGGAGAGGCGGGGGGAGGTGACTGGGCACTTACTCAAACTCTAAGAAAAGAGGGGGACCCGGCTAAAAAAGAGGGGAGGCTCTCCGCCCCCCCCCGCCTCGCCATGGCTAAGTAAACTGCATACCAGCGAATACATTCAAAATTTGTCTCGATTCTCAAGTTAAAAGACTTCTTTCAGGAAAGGACTGGGAGCCCTGTGGATACTGTAAAACGTCAAGCATATTAGGTGTGTCCGTCGGGCCTTTGGGCCCACCTACCCTGAAAGTGCATTTCCAATGTTGTTTTCCGAATGTTGAATCTGCCATGCTGCAATCCAGAAAAATGTCATTTGCTTGCCCAAAGAGCGGTTTTCATTAGCATGTTCCAGGCTCCAAGATAATGCGGAAAACTGATCGAAAAAAGTGCGAAAAACTGCGTGAGCCCTGGGGAGAGAGAGTGACACCTTTTCTTTCGCTTCTCATTCGCTTTCTTCGCTCATCTACACTGACTGAGAGCCTGGCACATGCTAGGTTTTCATTTGATCGCGTATATGTTGATTATCGGCTAAACATGTTGTGTGCTAACACAGGAAGGCAAGACTCGTGCGAAAGGATATTTAAAAAATACACTTATGATTCATGAAGTGGTGGAAGACAAATGTGATACGAAGCTGTATAAGGAAAACAAGTATACTGCTGCTGCTATTGCGCCTGCGCCACCGGCTCCGCTCTTCTGTTTTGGATCTTTCCCGTCTTCACAAAAGGGATTTTCGTCGTCAAACGTGGCTGCTTTCAGGGTTTCCTCGTCAAAAGAACAGCTATCTTTGTGTGCTTTATTCAGGCACTTTTTGGCTTCTGCAAAGGCCCTGAAAACGAAAATCAACACTTTTTTCAATCAGTATATCCTTTTAATCTGTAATTTATCATTATTTATTTTAACTTATTAATGTATATTTTTGTATTGACTTAATTTATGAGGTCAATTATATTAATAAAAAATAAGTAAGGGAAGCCAGTCCTTCGAGACATTTGGAATCTTCTTGCCGATAATAACCCCTTAGGGGTAATAATCCATTTTTTTTTCATGTCGTACTAACACTAGTAAAGACAGTAGTTTAGTTGGATACGATGTTATTATATGAGGGTAACACTGGTGATCATGAGGTCCGTTCGCAAAGTGTGTGGGCTAGCCCACACACTTTGGGAACGTACCTCATGATCACCAGTGTTACCCTCATATAATAACATCGTATCCAATTAAACTACTGTCTTTACTAGTTGGATACGATGTTATTATATGAGGGTAACACTGGTGATCATGAGGTACGTTCCCAAAGTGTGTGGGCTAGCAAAGAGCACCTGATACTCTAACATTTTTACCAGGGCTCCCCCCTACTTCCCGCCTCTTCCTTTCTGTTGTTGCGGGAGACGAGTAAGAAGGACCCTGGGAACGAGGTAGGTGAGCCGCCAGAGCGCAATAGCCAGAGTCAGTAAGGCGGGTCGCTTTACAAAAGTACTAGATAAAAAAGGAGGACTGGACTCTTGGCCGGGATCTAAATCAAGGATTATAATATATCCGACTGGATACTCGAACCAAACTCAGCAGATGTAGATGCAGATGCTTAATGTATAAAACTCAATAGAATAAGCGCAAACGGACGCAACCACTCCCAACATTGTTGGGCCAACGACGTTGGGAGTTGTTGTGTCAGTGTTAACAGAGTGGCGTGCAAACTGATGCAGCAACTCCCAACATTGTTGGCGAATGTTGGGACCTGCAGTGCATCGTGGGAAGGACGCATGGAGACCATGTGCGGTGCGCGTGCGTGGTCCCAACAATGTTGGAAGAACTGAAAAACGGATCCAACATTGTTGCACTTCGCTTCTGCGATCACGGTACAAAAGAAATTTTGGGAGTTGTTGGTCAAAAGTTTAACCACTCCAAACAACAAGCCACAGCACGCAAACGGACGCAACATGTAATATCCAACAATGTTGGGAACAATGTTTCGTCGGTTATCTATTCTGACGTAAGTTATTTAAAGATACTCACGTGCAAACCCCAGAAGACTTCTTTTGGGATGCCTCTGTGTAAGTCTTCCTGAAAGGCTCAGCGCACTTTTCAGCTTCTGTAAAAAACGCTGGTTGGCAATTTGCAATTTCTTGTACACTTCTATGAAGCATTGCTGTGTTCACTTCCGCTTTGCTGCAGAAGAATCGCTGTGAAGTTAGGATACCACGAAGGTAAATTTCCAAGTCGTCAAAGATCTGTGCTTTCTGGTTCAAGGCAGGGCATTTGCTATTCAGGTTGTTTCTTAAACAGTCCGCATTTTTCCGGAGTTCCGTACTGTAGATATAGGAGAAAATAGATCATTGTCTGTGTTAACATGTATTTTTTCCTGGCCGGGAATTTTCTTTCAGGTAAAGGTATTTATTTTCCGTCCAGGAATTTTTGACTGAGGGGGGTCCAAACTTTGGTTCAGAAAGAACTGTTGAACTTTTTTGTAGCAAATTACCTCTCCCCCACACCCTAAAGATATTAATTATCCCTGGAATTTAGTAACTCGAAAGAGTACTTCAACTGACAAGCCTGAGGCCGACGGTGCGCTCATTTAAGCCTTCTCTCACGGCTAAATGAGCGCATAGTTACCTGCAATCTTGAGGGCTGCCTGCGAAGTCTTTGGAGGACAATTTGTCACATTTCATTGCTTCCTCATAAACAACTTTTTCTGAACATCCGAGAGTTCGAATGCAGTCTGAAAAATAAACCCAACAATGTCATAACTTAGTGAAATAACCTTAGCAACGCAAACAATCTAGCTGTTTTGTTGTTGTCTGTGTTTGTTCCTTTGTTTGTATAAAATGTTTTTGTTGGTGGTCAGTGGTGTTTATAGTTTTACTGGGTGTACAAAGCTTCCCTACTGGGATAAGCTCAAATTCAACTCTTAAACCCTATCCGAGAAACCCTCCCCTCCCCCTTTCTCCCATTTCACAAACCATCAGAAAGATAGAAACTAGAGGTGGGCACTTTCCGGCTTAGGTCAATTTAAAGGAAGTATTATATTGTTTCCTCAGTTGTTTTTAGTTCAGCCGGGAATCGAACATGGGTCTGCCGCTTTCTTGTTCTGTCACAAGCCCTTGGCACGGTATGTTGGTTAGGCCCAAGCCAGATGTCGAACTTTTTTTTGAGACGAATCAAACTTGTTGAGTTAAGTTTATGAAAATTTCGACGTCTGAATACATTTGATCGTCCAATACGTTCTATCCGTCTGCCTCAGAAGGAGAGAACGTTTGAAGATCGTCTCCCGGAGAAACGTCGATCTTCACATGCGAAGAATCAAACTAATGAATTAAAAATGTGTATGATAATATAAATTTAGCCCCATTCGGAAGAAAATTTATCAAATTAAATCGCTTTTTGGTCTGATTCAGTTGATTGGCCTACGCGTCCTAAGTTCGACGTCTTAACCAACTGACGATCTTGACTAAATTTAGGTCGACCCAAATCAGAGTTTGGTTCGTCTTATGAAAAGTTCGACGTTTGGCCTAGGCCATATTCTCTTACCAAACAAGTCCGACGTTCCAGGGGGATCCATGTGATTACCGCAAAAAGGATTATACTCATCTTTAGGAATATACATGCAGATGCCATCGCAGGCTTGTCGAGCAATATTTACACAGTTCTTTTTAGCATCTGCATATTTCCTAGTAAAGAAATATATGGAACAGAGTTAGCTCTTGATCTAACTACAGTTAGCGCTTTTAGTTAAATACAATAAAAAATAAAATGGAAAAAAAAGGGTAAAAACAACTTGAGCGCTCATCATTTTATTTATGATCTTTATCCGTGCCCACTACAACATCCATGGGCTAACTGCTGATACCGCGTATTTTTAACGAGCTGTACATTACTTAAAAGTAAACCGTTTTGATAAAGTGCTTAGCCCTATATTAAAGCACTTTGGTGCTTAATCCTACGGTCATTTTTTTATTTCATATGCAACCTCTCTCTGATTTGAACCCTTTTCTCGATACATGCGCTCATCAAATGGTCCTCTACAAGGAGTATTGCATTGTGCAACAATCCTTGACGTGTCCAACCTGCTGGATTTTGGGTTCACAAACCTTCAATCAATCAATGAATTTATTTGTGTCATAACGTGGGCTGAGGGTTGCCCCTAGTACCCGAGCCGGACGCATGACAATAAAAATAATTTAAAAGATTAAAAATCAATAAAAATCAATATCGTTCGAGAATGTTATGTAAGAAATACTCAAAGCGGCACCCTCCTGCATCCCACTTAATTGATTAAAAGCTCATAGAAATGTCACAGGTAGAACATGACAATTACGAATATAAAATAAGCTAGAAAACCTAAGATATACCATAATTACGTTTACAACTGGCCTCAGTTAAGTTTATACAATTAAAAGATCTTAAATTGTTACGACAGTCACTTAGCTTAGTCGATAGCTTAATGTAAGAAGGAAGCTGATTCACAAACGTTGTGCAAAGGTCGCATATAGCGGGAGTTTTTGGATCATTATACGTTTCTGGGAAACTACCCACCTACCCCTCCCCTAAGCCAACATTTTGCCCTAAGTGAGACGTAAGTGTTATTGTTGGCTTAGCGGAGGGGTAGGTGGGCAGTGGTTGCGGACGGAATGCAGTCCCCAAAATACGTAATCCAAAAGATTCAAAAGAAATTGAACATTGCAGAGCACACAACGCCCACGCGAACCAACAATGGTTTCGGCAACACCAAAAAATACTCCATGTATGGTTAAATGGTAGTCACCTTACCTGCAAAGTGATGTATCACTCTTGTTTGCTTCAAATGCGGAGCGAAAGTCATCCCAGCAGTTAACAATGCTATTCAGTGCACCACGGTTACACTGGACGGTGGTCAGGATGAGTTGATTGATACCTTGAACATTATTTGAATTTACATTGCCGCAGTGGTACACCAACAAGACAAGCAGCTTTGATATCTCGCCTCGAAGAGAGTTCAAAATCGGATCGTCTTTCACACAAGTGTTCACGTGATTATTCAGGCAGGCAGTTTCATTTCCATATTCGCTGCTACAAAGGTGAATCAGATGTTGCGTCAGTATTTTAGGTCCGGGGGGGCACTTAAGGGAAGTTTGGGTAGAGGTGTGCCAGGATTGCGCTTCCAAGACCTTCAAACCCTGACCTTTTTCAAAAGCGCCTCGTTTTTCACACACATGTTTACATGATTGTTGTAGGCAGGTATTTTCATTTCCATATTCGCTGCTACAAAGGTGAATCAGATGTTGCGTCAGTATTTTAGGTCCGGGAGGGCACTTAAGGGAAGTTTGGGTAGAGGTGTGCCGGGGTTGCGCTGCCAAGACCTTCAAACCCTGACCTTTTTCAAAAGCGCCTCGTTTTTCACACACATGTTTACATGATTGCTGTAGGCACTTAAGGGAAGTTTGGGTAGAGGTGTGCCAGGATTGCGCTGCCAAGACCTTCAAACCCTGACCTTTTTCAAAAGCGCCTCGTTTTTCACACACATGTTTACATGATTGCTGTAGGCACTTAAAGGAAGTTTGGGTAGAGGTGTGCCGGGATTGCGCTGCCAAGACCTTCAAACCCTGACCTTTTTCAAAAGCGCCTCGTTTTTCACACACATGTTTACATGATTGCTGTAGGCACTTAAGGGAAGTTTGGGTAGAGGTGTGCCAGGATTGCGCTGCCAAGACCTTCAAACCCTGACCTTTTTCAAAAGCGCCTCGTTTTTCACACACATGTTTACATGATTGCTGTAGGCACTTAAGGGAAGTTTGGGTAGAGGTGTGCCAGGATTGCGCTGCCAAGACCTTCAAACCCTGACCTTTTTCAAAAGCGCCTCGTTTTTCACACACATGTTTACATGATTGCTGAAGGCAGGTATTTTCATTTCCATATTCGCTGGAACAAAGGTGATCTGAATCGGATGTTGCGTCAGTATTTAAGGCCCCGGGGGAGCACTTACGGGAACTTTGGGTAGACGCTAAGTCCTCAAAGCCTGATCCTATTTGAGAAAAAAAATGCTAATTTTGCTAACCTTTTTCAGACGAGACTTTTTTATCAAATCGAATCACATTATTTTGCATACAAAATCAAAAGAGAATGGGATAAAATCAAACCAATTAGATGTTTTGTGTAAAAGAATTGTTGGTAGCACACATATAGACCGCTCGTCTTTACCCTTCACACTCTTTTAAATGTTTAAGGTCCAAAATGACACCCTGTTCAACACGCTACATAGTGAAACGGTATAACTGTTAAGACTCACAATCCTAAAAACCATACCCTGCTGGATGTGGACTTGTAATCCGTACTCCCCGAGTTCAAGTCCCTCCCTGACCGCGGCTGGACTTGTTGCGGTATTCCCCAGTTCAAATCCCTGGCCACGCTTGTAAAGTAGCCAAATCAAGCATGGTTCGGCCTTAATACTACGCGTTGGTGCTCTTAACGTTGTTATGTTCCATTTGAATTATTTGTTTCGCTGATTCTTGAAAATCACTCATTAAGGGAGTCAATAAATAAGTAACTATTTATTTCTTTATTTATTGCTGCCGCTCAAGCGAGTCTGAAGCGAGCGAGCAAGGCAGCAGACCTACTCTGTACAGGGAAAAAAGTTTTCGATTTCTACCCACGATGCATGTGGATTTTTAGCCACAATGCCACCGGATTTTTACCACAATTCCTTCCTCGCTCATTGCTTTCTTACAACAACCTAGGCTGGCGTTTTGTTGCGTGAAGGTCGTTGAGGTTACTTGAAATCCTCGGCTTTTGTGATGAATATCTCTTTCATGGCATATATAGTAGCAAGAGCCATAATGGCTCTTGATGGTAGCCAAGATTTCCTCAACACCGCCAGTTATTACCCATGTTTGTCTGAAGCTATGGTAGTCTCGAAAACTCTCGAAGAATGTAATGTGTGTTTTTTCGAAATTCTTTTAACATCGTGTTTTTCAGTCCTCTTAATTATCTTCTACGCCCGTGGTTTTGTTAAACTATCATTTCACAATAATTTTAGAAGATAATGTTCCAATTAACCGGAGTAAAACTTCTGACGACTTGGCTGGCAATTTGCGTCACAAACTCTACGCATGAAGTATTCTAATTGCGCGCGCTAGAAGAACGCGAGATTAAAATGAAAACCTAATTTGGCGATGCAAATTGACGCTAGGGTAGCACTCTTTTACCTTTTAGGTTCACTAGTTTGTTTGTTTAAATATTTATTTATTTGTTCATTTAAAGACAAACCTGCAATTGGTCATGTTGTTGTTTTTCAGTTCCATGATCATGTCTCTTTGGCATTTCTGTCCTCCACCCGTAAAGAATGTAAGGTTGCATTTTCCAATAGACTGAATTTGACCTCTGCTCTGTACAATCAGCACTGTGAATACTAGGGAAAAAAATTGGCTTTTAGAGGTGCAGTCAAATTTCGTTATTTCGGACACCCTCAAATTCAAGTTAGTGTCCTTGAGTCTCGTCACCAGTCCTCCTCTGAGAGTTCGGATGTAAGGTCACCCTCCAAGCTAGCGCTAATTGGCCTGCGGGCAGGGTTTAGAAGCAGCGCAATAGAAACAGTTTGATTCTAGTCAAACGTCTGCTATTTATTTTTGCAAAGGATTTACTAGGAGCTGCGGTCCGTATTATTGGCTTTCCTGCCAATAGCGAGAGGCGTAGATTGACGGTCCTCTGAAAGAAGATGACTAAAATTCAGTTTCCGTCCAAACGATTCTCACTCGCCAACGTGGGATGCCTGCACCTGTGAAAGGTCCAGGCAAGAGTCCAATTACTTTGAAAACGGTGCACGTGACCGGAAAAGTAAGTGATCATTGAATCACACTGAAGATGAATCGTAATTCGCAGCGAAAGGGCTCTTGTAATAAAAAAGAAAGCATCACCACAGTAGATTACTCGCCAGGTACAGTTTCGAATTTGTCTTTATAACCCTTGACAGTATCACGAGAAACCAATTTTACCAAGGATTTTCTTAATTCAAAAACACAAAAAAAAATACTGAAAAACTTTACCAAAAAGATAACTAAATGTACAGTAAGTCGATTAGGATACAAGCTAAAGTATACGGAATATATTATTTACGAGATCTGACATGTACGATAAAGATGCAATAACTGTTTTACATGGACGAAATATAAAGAATCTAACAACAATATGCCTTAATCTAACGAAAATTAACAGTAACGATTACGCATGGCGACGCCGAGAATTAAATTACAAGAAACATCCGCATATTTTAACAAACTAACAATACTAATTAAAACCAAACTTGATATAAATAAAGAAGAAAAGAATGAAACTAAATTTACGCAAAGTCAAAATCAACCGGCCTTGAGAGATGGGCGAAGCAATAAAGGTGAGAACCAGACTGGGCGCGAAAAGAATTGTAAAATTACCAAGAAGATTGAGTACGGGCTAATGCTACTAAGATCGCCACGATGCGGACAATATGCGACGTGCTAACCGTGACGTAATACATTTCTTACACTATTAGGCTTAACAGCTCCCAGAGAGAAGATTTAATTCTTCACGCCTTTTTATCACTCACATCACGAAATGTCGAAATCTAAACACTTCGATTCAAACTGAGCATTTCAAACTGAACACACCTTAAGCGAAAATTGGTTTGTCACAAATTACAGTCAAAGCTCTCCACCTGGGGAATCCATAAAAGTTGTCGCACCCAAGAGTCGCAACCAGATCTAGCTGGTCGTTAACGACAATGGGCCTTCGTAAGTGACCACGTAGAGAACTTATCAAGGGCATTCGCTTACGAGCACTTTTAGCGGAAAACTTTGTATATGTTGTTAATTAGCAAAAAACTCCGATAAAATATTCTTAGATAATTTCTTTTTTTGAGGCTCATCTCATTAAAGTTAACGAGCCACTAATTCCACGTTATGTAGAGTGACATTAAATTCGATAACAAAATTTTTTTATAGTTCTTAACATTTTTTTACATTTTACAAAGATATTCTTTTAATTTTTTTCGCACTTGAAAATGACCGAAGATCGGTCGAAAAGTCGTTTTTTATCCGTGATTTTTACTATATTAAGTTTAAAAAAAAATGTCAGTTATACTTTCAAATGTTGACTGACTGGTAGGTTGATACCGGTGGATCACAAAAGAAACTGTCGAGTCTCTTAATAGGGACCTTAAGATACCCTGGACGCGGCGGTAAAGAGAACGGAGAAAGCCTGGAGCGAGGACGCCGCCACCTTCGCGGGAAAAACAAATTAAGATTCAGCAGGTTGAGTGGAGTGCTCGCCTGACGGGAGAGGATAGAGTAATGCGTTCGTGTTTTAATTCCATGACGTCTTTTAGAAAAACTCGTGAAGTCTTGCTTGATTGATACCTTAACGATCTTTTATTGGAAGAAAAATTTGTGCTGCCGGCTATGACTCCAGTTTCTCTAAAAAAAAAAAAAAAAATTTCTTCGAGGGAAACTTAAGGGTATGATCGGAGTCAGGAGCCGATTGTCGGAGTTCAGGTTTTCAGCTATTTGTTGCCGGACTTTTTCGCTTTCCGTTGTTCTAGATCTTGCCTTAAAACGATATGGTTCTGTTATGAGAACTTCCCGTACTAAGGCGAGATTTTGATCTTCAGACCGCTCCATCGCTGAACTGAAAGTGAACAAAATAAAATTATAAAAGTTAATAAATGAACCATGGCGTCTTGTTCAAGATCTCAATTTTCTCTGACATGTTTAAGTTTATTACAAGCCTAGATTTTTGTTTTCCAACAATTTTTATTCGACTTCTCGTCTCTTAAATTTTTCAAATACTATCCTAAACCGAGAACGTCGTCTCCTTAAAAACAAGCAGCTATAGTGTTACATTTGTGTCGAAAGACTCAGCGCTTTCATTCTCAGTTGCCGCCAAAACACTGAACCCAAAAGGCTTGATAGCAAAAAAATAAGAGTCAATCTTGGGAGAGCACCACACTAAAACACTTAAATGTGTCTCTTGAAGTAAAATGAATCGAAAATCCTGTACGAAAAGCAATTTCTGCACTGAAAACAAGAAAACCAACTCACCGTTTTACGAGGCGGTCCAACTTCTAGTTTTCACCGTCGCGACTCCAGGTCGACGCTGTGGCATTATGCTAATTAGTTCCAAGAATTGAACATTTCACTTCCGGTTGACGTCCTCCTCGGCCGCGTCCAGAGTATCTTAAGGTCCGTAATCTTGCGGGTGCGGTCATTTGTGACGAACACAGTTTCAAGAGAGTTTCGCAAATGAATGGTCTGCTTGTGGTAGTGGTGGCACGTCTATTGGATTTTGTTTGCCCAGTACGTAGTTTAAGAGAAATTTAGCTATCCAAGTTTTCGGCTGTTCGCTTGCAATCGAGGGAATTGATCACATTTACCTCAAACCTTTCACTTAAAATCGCCCACTTCGGAGCACAAAAATTACCTAATCGCGTTAGATCTTTGTGATTTATGTAGATGTGTTCAGCTTTGCAAATAGTTTCGTCAGCTAAAGACGAATTATCGCCGCTTTTCTACGCGGTTCTTCGCTTTGTGTAATTAAATGTAAAACCTTTTTAGCTAAAATAAGTTAAAGTAGTTATCCAACTTGCTTAAAAAAGAAACCGACTCACCAGTATTTTTGATGTTATGTAATTACGAACTTACCTACTAAAAACATAAGAAGTGTCCTCTCCATTTAAGCGCACGTTAAAAGCAATTTCCAAGCCTGTTTGAAGTTTTAAAGCAGATGGCCCGTATTGGAGCAGATAAAACTTAACAGCACTAAGCGAAATGATATAGTTTACGCGCACAATGTTGTTGATATTGACCTAAACAACTCTCTGCGATATTATGCAAATATTCTCGGTTGGACACACTGAATGGAAATTAGGTGACGCTAGCGAAAAGAGACCAATGAACCTGTAGTCTTGCAAAGAGATGCACAATTTACACCCTGGGAGTTTGATCGCTTTTAGCCTTAGATATTTTTAACAGTAGCCGGAATATTGAATTTGCAGTAACTTCTGACAGTCTGTGTTTGAAGCTCGTTGTTAGAAATAGCATTGAGATATGTAGTATAATCGCAGCTGCGTGTTCTGTGACTCGTGAATTTGTTTTTGTACTGTTGTTGTTTTTCCATGTGATTGATAATCTCGACTGGAAAAAAAATCACTGAATTATAAAAAAAAGCCCTCAAGTTACAAAATATTGCCTAGTTTTCTCTTCTGCTGGATAAAGGATGACAGGCAATGAAAGTTTATTTACCTTTTTAATCTTTTGTTTTTGTCTGTTGTTGTTTATTTCTATGCAGCGGCTTAGCCGCATCAAAAAAAGATTGGTCGGGTTTTCTCGTTTGTTTTTTTTTCCGTTTTAGTTTTACTTATATAACTTTCTCACTAAAGTTACTTCAATTTTAAAAACACCAAATTAAATTCGCTAGCACAAAGTTTATATCTGTGGACAACATTTTCCTATCACTTGCTCAGCAGGCGTCATGGGCATTTAGTTTCCTATTTTGCAATTCAAAATAGTTTACGTTTTTGACAGAAGTGATTACAGAAAAAACCATGGTGGAGCTGTTCGTTGATTCATGTCGATGATAGCAAAGTAGTCTTTATTAAAGCAAAATGGAAAGGCTCTTGATGGATGAACATCAGATTTCTTGTTTTGTAACACTATGCAGAACATATAAATGATGTTCTCTAGCTGACGGATAAAGGAGGTTGAAATGCAGTTCAGGCCATCGGCTTCGTCTCTACTTTTTGCAGCTTGTTTGACGAGTAAGTCATATATGTGCTTAAAATAAGAAGTTCATAAGATTACGATAATAAATAAAGGCACTGCTACTATATTGTGAACTACGGGAAAGACTAAAGGAGCCTTAAAAAAGTTAGTATCAAGTAGATTGCCAAAATACATATTTTACATGTATTCGGAATAACGCTGTGTTGTTACCATGTGAATAAGGTAAAATAACTTAGTCGATCCGATATCATGTCGCACTTTGCATTAATGAATCATTACATTTATTGAATTATTGAATTTCCAGGAAGCAAACACGTAATCAGAACAAAGTTTATTTGTTTCTGTGTTGAAGACAAATGACGTTATTTAGAGAGGGTGACACTTGCATTTTGACAGTGAGTTCCGATAACAGATAGACCTGTGGGCCTGTACTGAGTGCTTCCAATTAATTAGAAACACGTTGCTGATTGAATTGGAGTTCAGGCATGTTGGTTTTTGAGGATCAGGGGAAAACACTAACCCACATGTGTCGTGTACTCAGGAGCTTGAAACGCAGACGAAGTCGAGGGAAACCTCAGGACTCGAGGGAAAAACAAAACTAACTGTTTCCCTCGGGATCTGACATTAAGCGTATAATGCATGCAGTAAATATAAGTTTGCAAGCAAGACCGGCGGTTTCGAATCGTACGATTCTCATCATTGGTGGGATGGTTGAGGTGAACTCTCAACCATCCAGTATTGCTTGATTTGGTAAGAGTTTATATATCCACCCTGCTTCGTGTGGAGGATCGAAAATGGTGCGGTTTGATTGGCTCCTTGCAAAAAACTAATCAGGTTGCTGTAGGTTCGATTCCCGTTTTCTCAAAGCTAGGATGCTCTGATAAAGGGAAAAATTTCAAAAATAGTTGTTTTGCCTTGCTTTTTTGTCAAGTATAAAAACATCTCGTTAGAATGTTTATGATGTATAATTGTTCCTCGAAATGGCGAGGAATTATGTATATTTTCGTTTGAATTTAAAGTAAGACTTGCATTTACTATACAGTTTAATTTGTACTGTACAGACTAATTTAGACATGAGAATCTTTTAACGGTTTCACTGGCACAGCATGGCACTGTGTTGCAAAAATAACGTGAATATCGTAACGGAAGACAGACTGCACATATATGACGGCGTGAAACAGTACATTAATCTTTAATGTTTTGTATATTGCAGAGCTCAGATTTGGTTTTATGAAAATGGTTGAAATAATAGATTTGGGGACTTTGTCAAACCCTTTATTAAACTATTGAATTTTTTCTGGAAAACAAATAATGTCTTGGTTCGTAAACCTAAACTATGCGGAGATTTTTAAAAGTAGATACCAAAGATAACAGCAGCAACGGAAAATTATTATAATTTTGAGTAGACATATCTTACAAAAACAATACGTGCGAACTGAATAAATTGTCTGATGCGTACACATTAAAGTCTCTACTCAGCTATTTCAAAAAACATTGTCGGAAGAAAAGCAAAAAGCCTGTAAGCCAAGTCCGAAAGGTAATATGCGATTTTTATAATGACTTGCTATAGGTCCCATAGGGGTTTAGCGGCCGCTCAAGTGTCTGAGAAAAGTAAGGAACGTCTTTCTGTAAGTGAGCAGGCCTGGTAAGTGAGAGTATTTCTAAACGTTGGACAAGTCTTAACACAGATGTGGTTGGAGGGCCTTCAAATATTAGAGAGCTTAAGCAATTAAATGGCGACAAAAGAGACCAGAAAAACAATGGGTTTAAGTAAGCAAAACAACAACTTACAGCCAAATTCGTTGTATCGCGCTGCGTGTTTGCAAACTTCGAATGGGTTTTTCTGTTCCGTCAATCATTTGAGTGGGGGTGGAGTTCATGATGCAAATCACAATACAACGCATTCGCCCAGCTTGGCCCGCGAAAACAAAATTGAGAATGACCCAAAACTACGCAAGAATAGCGAAAGGAATCGCGATGACGACATGAATTTTTGTTGAAGGTAGGAGGCAGACATTGCTTTATTTTTGCAAGAGATAAGAATAAGAAAGATCATAAAAAGCTTCGAAGAAAACTAGTCGATCAAAGTCCGAAACAGGGCGATCACAAGCAGCGAACCTTGAAACACAGAAACAAACAAAGTGGATCGAATTACACCAATCACAAGTAAACATGTCTTTCCTAATAGGTCCGCTAAGATGATTGACGGAACAGAAAAACCCCAAATTCCTTCGAAGTTTGCAAAACGCGCAGCGCGATGTAACGAATTTGGCTATAATTTGCACGTGCGTCACGCTTTATCACGTGGCCGTTTTTGCACGACTACGGCTTGAAATGTCTCACGTTTTATGGGGGAAGTGAACAGCAGACCACAATTTTCTTTTTTTTTTTTAACTTAAAACTAGTCCTTTAGACTTCGTTTCCAGAAAAATCGACATTATTTCTAAATGTTGAACGAGCTTGAATAAGGGAATGAATAAAGTTTTTTTATGCTAATCTCATGAAAGTTACGAACATTAAATTTCATGTTATGTACAGTGACCCTAAATTTGATAAAAAAGAAAATGTTATTTATACTTTATTGTAATTTTCACTGACTTGTAGGTTGATGCTGGTGGATTACAAAAGAAACTGTTTCTTGCGGGCGGTCGTTTTTGACGATCACAGTTTTTAAAACTCGGAGAGTTTCGCAAATGACTGCTGGTGGTAACTGAAAACTGGTCCGCTTGTGGTAGTGACGGCAAGGCGCTAGTTGACTGAGTGTATTAAATTTTGCATGCCCAGTAGTTTAAGAGAATTAAATTTAGCTATCCAAGTATTCGGCTGTTTGCTTGCAATCGAGGGAATTAATCACATTTGTGTGAAACTTAAACTTTTAAATCGCCCACTTCGGAACACAAAACTTATCTAGTCTCGTGAGATCTTTGTACCGCAGGTGTCGTCACCTTAGCAAATAGTATAGTCAGCTAAAATTCTTAAAAGACGAAGTATCGCCGTCTTTCTACGCGGTTCTTTCCTGTGTGAAATTAAATGTAAAACCTTTTTAGCTAAAGTAAGCTAAAACAGTTATCCAACTTCCTTAAAAAAACCGACTCACCATTATTATTCTTAATGCTGTGATGAGTATTTTTGATTTTATGTAACGGCTAACTCACCTGCCAAAAACATAAGAATTGTTCTCTCCATTTTATCGCTCGTTGAAAACAATTTCCAAGGGTTTTTGAAGTTTTAAGGCAGATTGTATTGGAGTGGCTGAAACAGCACTGAGCGAAATGATACAGTTTACGAAAACAATGTTGTCGATATTGACCTAAACATCTCTGTTCGATATTATGCAAATATTCTTCGTTGGACACACTAAATGGAAATTAGTTGACTCTAGCGAAAAGAGACCAATGAACCTGTGGTCATGCAAAGAGATGCGTAATTTACACCCTGGAAGTTTGAATCGCTTTTCACCTTACATATTTTTAATAGAAGCCGGAATATTGAATTTGCAGTAACTTCTGGCAGTCTGTGTTTGAAGGTCGTTATTAGAAATAGCACTGAGATATGCAGTATAATCGCAGCTGCGTGATCTTTGACTCGTACATGAGTGGAGATTAAGAGTTTGTTTTTGTACTGTTGTAAAACTTAGTACGTAGTGTTTTTTGTTGTTTTTACATGATAATCTCGACTGAAAAAGAAAACAACTGAGTGAAAAAAAAACCTTAAGTTACAAAATATTGCCTGGTTTTCTCTTTTGCTAGATAAAGGATGAATGGTAAATGAAAGTTTATTTACCTAATTATTCCTTTGTTTTTTTCTGTTGTTGTTTATTCCCATGCATCTGAATCAGTAAAATTTTGATAATTATTCAGAAGAAAAAAAAGATCGGTCTGGTTTTCTCGTCTTTTCCGTTTAACAAATAGATTCCATGTTGCCGTGCGTTTGTTTATGATCACAGATGACGCCAAAATGTGGTAACAACAAAGAAGTGGCACACGAGCCGCAGGCGAGTGTGTCACTAATGTTTTAACCACATTTTGGCGTCATCTGTGATCTGTTACTGAAGAGACGCACAGCAACATGGAATCTATTTGTTAAACGGAAAAAGACGAGAAAAGCCGACCGATCTTTTTTGTAAATAGCTCCTGCTAAGTTTTTTTGGGCTTTCACTTGCTTTAATCCGAAATAATGACACAAACATTTTCAAAACCGCGCGCCATGTTGAAAAAAACAATCAAAACAAGTTTTCCCTGATGTCATTCATGTATCTGTCCTCTGATAGATCATGGGCAACGACCAATCACAGCGCGCGTCTCATTCACATCATTGTATAATTTAGTTTTACTTATATAGATTGTTTTCATAGTGACTTCATCAAATTGTAAAGTCAAAATAGCGAGGTTTTACGAATTCTTAATTACACTAGGTTGAACTGCGGTAAACAAAATATAAAGCTTTGTACAAGTTTCCAGTCCAGCAGCACGTTCCATTTCGAAAAAAAGCAATTTGAACTTCCGGAATAGGAATGCTGCCTCGTTGAAAATAGTCTGTTCTCTTGATTTTCAGCAGTATAACCATTTCAAGTATTAAAAGATATGATTATGCGCACGTATGCTAGTTCTCGAGTGAAAAGAAAGGGCTTTTTATAGAAAAAGGGAACTCCAGATGTTTTTGTTGATTTCTGGCGGCCATATTGGTGGACCGAAACGGTACACCAATATGGCGCCTCCATACAAAGCTCTACAAAGGTGCGTGAAACACTCGGCAAATAACTCAGAAACTGTGGGCCACAGTGACCTGAGACTTGGAAAAATTGTTTAGATATTTGTCGTTCAACATTTCATTTTCTTGGTTTCTTCCACTGGACGGTTTCCAATTTATTTTTTTGTTGCGTGACAATGAAAACGATCTATAACTTTCGCCCTAAAGTTACTTCAGTTTCTTTCAACAATTAAATTCGCTAGCACAAAGTCGATATCTGTGGACAACATTTTTCTATCACTTTCTCAGCAGGCGTCATGCGGGCATTCAATTTTTTTTTGCAATTCAAAATAGTTTACGTTTTTGAAAGCAGTGATTACAGAAAAAACATGCGGAGCTGTTCGTTGACCAATGCCGATGATGGCAAGGCAGCCTTTGTTAAAGCAAAATGAAAAGGCTCTTGATGAATAAACATCAGATTTCTTGTTTTGTAACACTATGCAGAACATATGAATGATGTTCTCTAGCTGACGGACTAAAGGAGGTTGAAATGCAGTTCAGGCCATCGGCTTCATCCCTTTTTCTTGCATCTTATTTGACGAGTAAGTCCGTCATAATGTGCTTAAGAAGTTCGTAAAATTACGACAATAAATAAAGGCGCTACTGCTAAAAAACGAACTACGGGAAAGACTTAAGGAGCCTTAAAAAAGTTAGAACTAAGTGGACTGCCAAAATACATATTTGGCATTCGGAATAACGCTGTGTTGTTGCCTTGCGAGTAAGGTAAAATATCTTAGTCGATCCGATATCATGTCGTACTTTGCATTAATGAATTGTTACATTTATTGAATTATTGAATTACCAAGAAGCAAACACGCAATCAGAGCAAAGTTTATTTGTATGCGTGTTTGTAGAAAAATGACGTTATTTAGAATAGGCGTAGCCTGTGCCAGGCTCTCAGATAGTATAGTGGGAACGTGTTAAAACGAGCAAAGCGAAAATAAGACGCGCACGACTTGGGAAAAGGGGCGGTGGCGGTGGCGCCCTGTCTCTCCCCAGCCCCCGCGCGTTTTTCGCATTTCTTATTACTGAACGACTTTCCACCACCATCTCGGAGCCTGGAACAGGCTAGAATAGGCGACACTTGCATTTTGAAATGTACACTTCCGATAACTGATAAACCTGTGGGTCGGTACTGAGCGATTCCAACCAATTAGAAACACGTTCCTGATCGAATTGGAGTTTAGCATGTTGGTTTTGAGGATCAGGGGAGAAAAGTACTCACATGTGTCTTGTACCCCCCCGCCCCCCGCCCCCTACCCCCAACAAAAAACATTTCTTTTATCTTCGTGTTACTAGCCATGCAACTAAGAAGAGGTCTTTTGTTTAACTCCACTCTTTACGTTGGTTACTTTGTTTCTATAAGTAATGAATTGGCCCATTTAGGTCAGTAATATTTAAGGGTTTAAATGAAGTGCCGGTTAATTAATGGATCAAATGTTATTTCAATACAAAAGAGAAAATAATCTGATACGCATAATTAATTTGTATTTGCATAACATGTCGTCCTGTAGCTACTTTCTCCTTTGCTTGGTAACGTTACTGATAGTTATATGACCTTATATTTATTTGTTAAGACTTGGAATTGTGTAAAATGGACCAAATGCTCTTTACATGTGATTATTTTAAAGTCACGTGTAGGGAAGTTCACTTACATTCATTACATTATGACAATTTCGAAGGTGGATATATGGCATTTGTTGTTTTAACTGCGGTATAGTCATCCTTTTTCCTGGTTGGCCAGACAACTCGGTAGAGGGAGTACTGCGCCGGTATCGCAGAGGTCATGGGATCTAATCCCGTTCAAGCATAACTGAGATATATGAAATTAAATTAATAATTTCGCGAACAAAAATTTAGATTTGGACAACACTTTTCCAACAGATACTAATTTTTATTTAGATAATTCGCTTTAGTACAGTAAGTTTAAGACGTCACAATCACCTTTTTATAGTGTTCGTTGGTTGTGCTTTTTCCCCTTAGGTCTAATTCCAGAAAAATATGCAGCAGACCCGATGATTGGTGACTGTAACATGACGTATTTTGTTGCAGAAGGACAGAAGTGTCAGAGGATGATGATGTCAAACTTAAAACTCAAAACCAATGCTAACTGCAAGTACGTCTAGCCTTCCTTTTCCTGAACTTGATCCAGATCAATTTAGATCCCCTGGAAACTGCCCACTTACCCCTCCCCTAAGCCAACAGTTTGCCCTAAGTGGGAAGTAAGTTATAATGTTGACTTAGGGAAGGGGTGGGTGGTCAGTTTTTTAGAAACCTCAATTGATCCCTTGACCCTTTCTGACATTTTTCTTGTAGTGGCAGTAGAAGAACCTCCCTGACTAAAAGTGGGGATTACGATAATGATAGCGATTCCAGGGCAGCAATTTTTCAGTTATGGCGCTACTCACATATGTACACTATAGGGTATCAAGATACAGTAAAACCCGCGACTAAGAACCTGGTTTTTAAGAAACTGTTTAGCTAAAATTTGTCATTAAGCCCCTCTCTATACAAACTCTATTCTTCAGAAAATATGAACCTATTTAAGAATCTAAATAACCTAAATTTGTGCTAATTTCCATATTTGTAAGAACCTATTTAGGCTGACTTGGAAAAATGCAGGTTCTTAGTCGCGGGTTTTTTACCCTATGCTTTTTGCCTCTGACTCTGGAAAAGGGTACAATAATCACCCTATATCTCTGGAAGATGGATATATTTTACTTCAGTTTAACTCTGGAAAAGTGTCGATTTTTTCCCCATAATTCCTGATTATCCTTGATCAAGCTTTGGTGCCAACTCGCAGGCTAAGTAGTTACTTTCTGAAACAGGGTCGCAAATTTTAAAAGACGGAATCCATCAAAGACTCGACTGCGCATCCCTATAGTAATTTAAATTTAAGAAATAATTATTTATAGTAATTTCAATTTAATTCAAGGGAGGAATTTCAGTTTTAGAGGGTCATCAGATTATTAGTCAGTTTAATTACTTTCAAATGTTACCCTCTTTAAATAAAGTTTTTATCACCTGCATCATCATCATCATCATCATCATCATGATCGTCTTCATCATCCTCAAGGAAGTACCCCTGTGGAAAGTAACCTGAATCGATTTGAACTCTATGACCCTTTTAAAAGAGAAACATCAAAAACTCTCCATCTGCTTGAGTTCGTTAGGTAGTAGCGGTGACGTCGTCAATATTTAACTTGTAACTTGTCACTTTCATCGCTTTATGTCAATGTCATATCGCTTTTTCACAGCCTTGAATATCAGAGTCAAACGTCATGCTTAACGCGTCACGTATCATCTTGCCTCACGGATCTTTACTCTGGCTTTGTGCCTGCTGTCACATCCTTGCTAAAGCTGTTGAGTTACCACTGTGGAGATTTACAAGTAGATCCAACCTTGATAAACCAGTTCTTGCTCAGCCAGATACAATGCAGGTCCGAAGTTTTCTCTAGAACCGTGCGATGTTGGGATAAGTTTCGCGATAGATTCAACAACGACAAGGCAGATTCCAGACTCTGCAGGTAGGAAATAAACTCTTGCCACATTATAAGAAACAAGATTGGGACTAAGACGAATTCTCTGCAGAATTGAGCAACAAAAACGTAAAACTTGTTTTGACACATTGCTGCGAAACGAGTTTAATAGCTACGTTGCGCGTTATACCTGTCTCCCAACAAATCGCGTTGTTGCAAGTTGCAAAAAGTTGTTGCTGAAGAAGAGAAGAGTTCTACTTTTTACGATACAATCTGTACACGTTGCGCCTTTTACATGCCCAAGATAAAATTGTTTTGCAGAAAATGACGTGGCCCCTGTGCATGGCATAACTCTTGCGTTATTTTGTCTAATCAGAAAGTCAGTATTCGTGCAACTTGCAACATAACCTGACTTGTTGCCAGAAAGATTTGAACGCGGGTGGTAAAACGCCAAACATAGTTTTCGAACTCGCTTTACAGTAATGTTGCGGAACCGTGATTTTGCACGTTTTTGCACGTTTTGCCCGTAGTTTAAGTGAGAGCTGCAGTGACAAGTTCTACTACATAAGTGTGAAAACTTCCATGAAATATTTCATGGTACAAACAACATAGTTTTCTAAATAGACCACTTTATATAAAATTTTTATTTCTGCTTACTTTTGCTACAAGAAATGATTCTGGCTAGCATGCTTTTTCTGGCAAAAAACTATAACATGGAATGATTGATTTCCATCACAACTTTAATTTATTCAGCCTCTTACTCGTTTCTAACTTGATCGTTACAAACTGAGCCAAGAACAAGGTGTTCTTTACGTCAGGTTGGTCTAGAGGACGTTTTCTTGGAGGAAAAGTGCCACATTATCCTATTGTATTTCAACCAGGATTTACATGAATCAGCGCAAAAGTGAGCCTTTAACACATTGCAGAATGAAATATATTATGCATGGTGTGGCCCGTGTTTATATTAACATAAAACAACAACAGAAGTGTCAAATTCGCTAATGGTCTAGTTAAGATCGGCATTACCAGTCTGTGGATTGGAAGAAATGCGGATATTGTTCTGGGCAGGTGCTGATAAAATGTTTTTTGATTTTTTGGCCATACTCTTGTGTAGGGATTATGCTGAAGCAAAGGACTGTGTGACACAGCAAGCAAAGACTGGGTGTGCAATTGGACAGTACATCAATAGGGACCTGTTTAACCCTTTTTGCACTTACAATACAGATCCACCATTGAACAGCTCAGGTACTGCGTTCAACTGTTTTTGTTTTCTCACTGTAACCCCCTGCAAACGATTGCCGAAGATTGAGATACAGCTAGAGATAATTTTTGATATTCAAATTGAAATATTTCAATATTATACCCTATTTAACTAGAGTTTAAGGTATTTTACGATTAGCATTGAAAGAAGTAATTTGACTTGAATTAGTGAAAAGGAATTTTGTCCCATTCGGTTTTTGGCGATTTAAAGCATTTTTTCTACACTACTGCGAGGTCATTTTGTGCTTTTCAAAGAAAGTTGTACGTTCTATCTGTAAAGTTTTCATGGAAGATTTTAATTATGTTGCTTCCTTTCCTCACCTTTCTATTTTTATTATTTTGTTTGCAGGATCGATGGTCTTGATTGGTCGTTGCGATACTCAGAAGTTTGCATCCTCTGCTTATTCTTGCCAGAGAGAGATGATGACTAAATTAGCAAGAGCAGACAGTGGAAGCTGTCGGTAACAGAAAAGTCATTCACTTATCTCAGTATAAAAACCTAACTGTTAATTACATTATCGCCCTCAGAACTCCGATCCTTTTGGCCAGCGCCACGGATTGGCTGCTCATGGTGGGGTCCAAAGATGTAAGGGACATTAGTTACTGTCTGTTTGTAAAATGGAAAACTACTGCGCTTACGCGTTATCTTGGTCAGGCCAGGGCTCTGGATTCGTGATACTGACCTCAAGGAACGCAGCTCTGGGGACGAGAATGAAGCACTTCGACGAATATAACATGCCTGGTTACTTGACTCTTCTTGTAGAAACTCGCTTTCTTAAAATCAAGTCAAAATAATAAAAAATATACTTAAAATCCCTGGTGAGAGTTTTAGACTCAGTATAACAGGTACATCAAAGACTCAGGCTAGCTTTTGGCCGCCGAATAGTGCTTCTGTTTACACGCAAGGGCGGTTATGGCGGCACGATTTCTATGACGGAGCAAAGCTGCGCCGCGCGGATCTCAAAAGTGGAGTGTCACACATCAGACAGGTTTTGTGCCTTACTTTGTTGTAGTGTGAACTCCTATTCGGCCCGTCGCGGAAGTAAATAAGTAGGAGCGAGGCTTAGAACCAACTCAACCGGAAGTAAATATTTAGGAGTGAGGACTGGAATTTAGTGCACTAAACTCTCTCGGCCATCCGGGCCAGCACGGTGTTCGATGTGTGTGAAACGACTTATGCATCCCCGAGTCGTTGCTTTTTACACTATACCGGATAACTTCCGGTGTAGTGTGTACATATCCTCAATATTCGAAAAGAGAGGACATTTTCTTACACTTTTCAACTTTTCTTTTCGTAGGGACCAATATGCTAGGCTAAAGTCTTGCTTGTCGTCGATCATGGAAGAATGTCTTACTGGAACGTCGCTTTCTTCCCTCCAAGATGAAATCCGTGAACTAGTGCAAACAGTACTTTACCACTGCGGTTCCCTTATTGCAGAAAACTTGTCGATCGATTCCCTACTAATGAATATACTTAATTGCAACAAAAGTATGTTTCAAACGTCCGTCCAATGCTGGGATGAATTTAGGCTGAGGCTGCTACTGAACAAATTTGACAAGCAACTTTGTGTGTAAGTTTCAATGTTTGTACTGCAGTTGACAATACTCCATAGTACTCTAAATATGTGCTAAAATAGTAGAACGTGAACTAGCACACTATCATGAAATCACTAAAGTTCGTTTTTACGTGACCTCACGGCGGCCATATTAGTATACAAAAAAATTAAACAGTGGCCTTGTTGGTGTACCAAAAAGACACGTTGGGATTGAACTCTTTTGGAAACTTCTTTAACAAATCGTTTTGCGATTTTTTTGAGTAAGAAGTGATAAATAATGTTAGTATTTACCGAATCAGCGAATAGCAATTTTTGCGCGTTTTATTTGGCTCCCGTTAAACGCGAATATCCTTGGCTATTCACCGTTTTGCGACCGGAGCTAAGATGGCGTCTCCTTTCAAGATATTTTCGAAAGATGAAACAAATACCAAGAAAGTGACGAACTTTGGCCTATCAGTGGTACTTAGAAAATCACTTTCATGCTGAATTTGCAACAAAATGGTAAAAATGCGCTTGAGAAAATCCCGAAATATTTTTAAATTGTGAACAAAGTGACGTAAGTAATTCACAAATGTTTATTTGTTATTCTTATCCAACTGATTTTGGTAAATACTAAAACAACTATCCCCCTTAGGGTCGGTTCTTAGCGGCCCCCCTTCGGGGGATAGTTGTATACTATTCAAGAAAAACTAAAGCGACCGTAACGTATGGAATGAACATTTTTAATGGTTAGAATTGGATATTGAGTTGTTTACTGGTGACACTGAGCCAAATGACGCTTCTCTATTTCATCGTTCATGATGGAATTGTGGATTGCATGAAGTTTGATATCTTCTGAACTAAGAGAGCTGTGCGTAAAAAAGAGATATACCATCATTGCAGTGGTTTCCGAAAGGAGTGGTTCAACTGTACAAGGGTTGTTAAAATACCCTTACTAATAAACGTACCCTGGGTGCAAGAGATTTTTCATGCGCGGTTTCCGGTTACATTTAAGTCTCATACGGCTTCGCTCTTCGCGTGGCTTTGGCCTTCCGCCGAAGATGTGCCAACCTGCGGCCGACCCCAAAGCACCCCGCCGCACGCGACGAAAACTTCTGGCTTCAGTTGTTGAAACGTTGATTAGCGTTATCCATCGGATAAATCACTATCCAGCGGATAAGTATTAGGACAAACAATTGCGCCATCAATTGATAGAGATTTATCCAGTGAATAGCGTTATCCGAATTTTGAACAACTAGGGCCTGGTAACCAGGGTATAATAACAACCTTCTAATATTTGAATATTTGTACCAATTTCTGCCTGAGAATGATCAGAAGACCTTTCACTTGTTCTAATAACCTTCCTCATAACGTTCTTCACACTCAATGCTACTCACGTTGTGTTACAGGGACTATGCTCGTTCTAAGCAGTGTGTCTTAAAGGCTGTCAAACAAGGATGTGCTATTGGTGATCTAATGGAAGAGGATCTTTATAACCCATTCTGCATTGATGGCATAGATCCACTTAGCGTGCCACCTGCTTCAGGTGTGTCCTTTTCTCTGTGTGTTTGACGCATTAGTTTTAGAAGTTGACAGGGACTATTTTCTCCAGCTCCAAGACTAGTTTATAACATAGCTAGAATATACACTTAATCAAATTCAATAACGTGAGCGTGTTTCATGTTCCCATTGAGTACGTTGATGACGTCAACAAATTAAAACCTTGACTTCTAGTGATCTTCGCAATCCTCTGCATTCAATTACAGTTCACAAAGAAGCATTTACCTGTGTTTTATCATGTCTGTAATCTAAAGAGAAACACTTTTGAACTTGTTAACAGATAGTAGGGGAATTGAGGTGAGTGCTATTGTTGCTGTCATCTGCGCAAGTATAGCGTGTGCAAATCCTCGAGATGCAACCAGCGGTAATTGCTTTTAGTATATAATAAAACAGTAGATACCGTTTTTCTCGATTTCATTGGATACTCAAAGTAAAACGTCAAGAAAACGCGACGTCCGTTTGGTCATTTGGGCGCCAAAATTGTAATCGTCGGCAGCAGTAAATGAGTTAAAAACCATGATTTACTAGCCACCTCCACTTCGTAGTGCTAGGAACGCATATTGAAACATCTTTATCAATATCTATTGGTGGTTTATTTTTTCGTACAAAGAATGTTTAAAGATTTATGGAAGGCTAACTGAAGCGTAATCATTATTATGTGTTTGTGATATTCCGAAGGCTGTTTTTTAACATTGATGATAGAGAGAGGCTTCAAGTGTACACTCACTTAAAGCAAAAAATTATTAGACGTTACTCCAACTAGAACTTACTTTTCCTTAGTAAATGCATTGAAAAAACGTGCGGTGGCCGCGCCGGGATACGAGTTTTATCTTCGAGCGCTGACAGTATCTCTCACTCTTTCGCTTCGCGCACTCGTGAGAGATACTTTCAGCACGAGAAGATAAAATTCGTATCTCCAAGTGGCTATGTAATGTTCTGTTTATTTTACAGATACTGATGAAATTCCTACATAAAACACTATTTTTTTATTCATTTTCGAAACAGCAAAATAGTGTAATTAAAGTGGTCACCTATCGCTAAATGCCTGTCACAAAAATGTTATGAAACTCGGATATAAAGTTGTAAAGGAGAAATAAGGACAATGATACTTAGTAACCTGAGCGGGAAGCTCTCTTGTAATTGGCTAATCATGTTAGTAACCATGGCGACAACAATAACCTCACACGTGAAATATAAAAATAGTATATTCACTGCGTGCGATGATCATGAAGATGTGATTTTTTAGTAAAAAAAAAATCCTGGTATTTCAACAGTATCTATATAATAAAATTGTTTGCACGAGAACTAAAGTTCATTTATTGCATTTCCTCTTTTTTTTTTGCAGCTCTTCCTTCAAGTCAATTTAACTTTGTTTGCACAAATGCATATTTTTACGAAAAGGCAGTTGCTTGTGAAGATGACTTTTTAAACGCTCTTTATTCAACAAGAGTTATTACTAACTGCAGGTATGTGTAATCTTGCAATGTGCAGTTTTGATTAGTTGATCACAGTTTCGGAAAATATTTCTTCTAGGTATGATAAACTTAAGCACTTTTAAGTTTGTATAGAAACTTGTTTAAGCCACGTTGCTTAACGAATGTTCAATAGTGAATCCACTAAGCCGACTGTTTTTTTTCTTGTTTGTTTGTTTCATCCTAGAAAGCAATCTCAGTCTTTTCTAGACTGTCTAAAGGCTCATTTTGAACCTTGCGTCAGGCCACATTCTAATCCGGTATTATCAGAGGCATTGAGTACGCTGGTTCTGCAAAGCTTACAGGGGACCCAGCTTCTATGCAGTTCGCCCATACAGCAAATCACGTGGGATGACCTTCCTCCACTCCTTCGATCGGTTGCATCATGTGAAAATGAGTTTACTTCGGAAGCAGCTAGTTGTGGAAAAACTTTTCGTTCAAAGTTCATTCCCGTTCCTTCACCACTGTGTGAAGAGTTTGAGGACGCCAAGAAGTGTATGGACAAGGCTAGAGAATCTCACTGTTCGTTTGGCTTTCAAGCCAGGGAGACACTCAAGGGAAAATCAAATCCATTTTGCGACAACAGAACTCGACCGCTATTCAACGACGATAGCATCTGCGAGAAAGTAGATTCAATACTGTCATTCGTCAGTGTTATATTAGTTTTATCAAACAACCTATTTTAAATGGGCATTAATATAAGATATCCATCTTTTAATCTGAATCTCCCGTTAAAAAAATTTTGGCCAATAATACAATACTCATAGCATTCAGATATTCATTCGCCAGTATTATATTAGAGGAGCTCCACTAGCGCGCGCGCGCGCGTGAGCGGAGAGTCATAGTTAAGAAAATTTGGTAGTCTATCTATCCGAGAAAATTTGGTAATGACGTCAGCGTACGACTGAACGCTGACCGTACAGTCTTTAGGGGAGGGGGAGGGGAGTCAGGAATCAACCCGTCGGGGGAGGAATATGTTATAGCTGAGGTTAAATTTTTGCATTTCAAACACACTGCTCGTTTCGGCGGTAAATCACATGGCCGCCCGGACTTTTAGAGAAAAAAAAACGAGTCTTTCTTTCCACTAAATTTTAATGTCTACATTAACTTTCTTCGTTGAAAGAAAAACATGAAAATTGTATAGCGGTGGTGAGAGTGTGCTGCACGTGCAAAGTTGCTTTTTTGCCATTTAGAAATAAAAGTGTGCTGCACGTGCAAAGTTTTTTTTTTGCTAATTAGAAAAAAAGTGTGCTGCACGTGCAAAGTTTATTTCTTGCTTATTAGATCTGTTGTTATTGTTTTTACCGTTCTCGTTGTTTTCGCCTTGTCTGTTGCTGGTTTGCACGTGACGTCACGGCGGCCATGTTGGTGGTCAAGAACAAAAGCATTTCTCTCCTCTGGGAACTAAACTCTATTTTCATGTAAATTCTTCGAGGAAATATTCTTTTGTTTTGACCCCCAACATGGCCGCCTTGTCACGTGGTTGCAAACCAAGAGTAGTATTACTCGATTTTATATTTTCTTTGAGGAAACTATAAATATTACAGAGAGCTTCGCTTTTAGCCGCAGCAAAATCTATATTTATATTAGTTTTGTCATACGTGTTCCTATTTTCAGTGGGAAGTGATATAAAATATCCATGTTCAATCTGGAGCTTCAATTGAAAAATGTTTGCCCAAGAATACAATACTCATAGCATTCAGGTATTCATTCGCCAGTGTTTTAATAGTGTTCTTATGCATGTACATGTTCCGGTTTTAAGTGGGGAGTAATATAGATTAAAATAAGCCATTTTGACAATAACATAATTTGACTACCTGAAGTCCTTTTGTTTTCCTTTGTTATTTAAATCTAGTATCCCCATTGGGTATAAAGAACAATAGCGGGAATTCGCACAAGAAAGCAATATCTCGAAGAAATTTGGAATTTGAAGTCAAATGACTTGGGTTTTTGTGAAAGTGGATTTTTGCACCATACCCCACACACTATTCTAAATATAATAAAAAACGATGATATAGTTTCTATTATTTTTATTCTTAAAGTCACGAGCTTTAGATTATATAATGTGCTGTATATTACCCTTTTGTGAATAGAAAAAATATTTAAAAGATGTCAAATGAACAAAAATTTCTGAAAGAAAGGTAAAACACTAATTAAAAATGAAGCATCCATACTAGGCTCGGTCCGAAGCCATGGCTGTCTCGATTCGCCCACGATTCCTTCATTGGCCACCACAACATTACGGCTTCCGTAATGCAACCGCTGCCAAATATTGTTAAGATCCGACAGCCAGTAGATAAATTTTGCGCTAGAGGAATCGCGGATGCATCGAGACACCCACGCGTTGATCTCCAGAAACCTTTGCTCGATGCAACTTGATGCGTTATAGAGAAGCGAACAAAGTGTTCTATTTATAATGATGATTATGATTGTAATGAGTAGTACCTCTCCCTATATTAACAGCACCGTGGAACATCTACGAAATGAATAAATGAATGAGTGGTAATCACTCGTATTTTGGATGAAAGTGCTACCTTTACATGTCATAAATAACGGGAGTGCAATTTCTCAATTGCAAGGTGAACATAAAATGGTCAAACCTACAAAGGCCACTGTGGGGCATCAATTGCTGGACGCAGAACGTAGCCGTTGTGAAGGCGTACATTTTAGGGGTTTAATAAAAGCTGCTACTAAACTAAGAATTAAAAGATGAATTATCTTCATTTTTTCTTCTGACGCCCAGTTCTCACTAACGACACAAGAGAAAAAGCTGCTCATTTTAACGTTGAAACGGCCTAAACGCACTCATCAAGCTTGAGTGGACGCAGCGAGAGAAACCAAACTTTTTTTTGGCTTGGGTGCGTTCGTGCTTGGGTTTGGACTATGTTCTGACCATAGTGTGTAAAAGGCCACACCGTTTGTTATAGTTCATTAGAAAACAACTTTTCGATCATAATTTGAAAGTATTACAACTCAGGAGTCAAGGAGATTGAACTAGTTGAAGCATAAAAACTGGCTGATTGTATTCTTTACAGCTCGCCTAACTTCTTCCATTTTCCAAAAGTACAGAATTGGATTGAGCGTCGAATTCAGGAAAACAAGGGTGACGGTACATTGTCTAGCAAGAAAGAGAGGCGAAGACATAACCCTATTAGCAGAAAAAGCCACCACTATTCCATAAGGTAGATAGCAGACCACTAGCATCAGCTGCAACCACAGTGCATTGTAAACTGCTTTGCTGTATCTCATAAGGTTGACCGTAGTTCCTTGGCACGGTCCTCGTTTATTACGATCTTGCACTTGAATTTTCCGACGACGAAGAATAAGAAATATCTTGCTGTAAGAGGCGGTTGAGATCAAAAGAAACAGCGATATTGTCATGTAGCCTCCCCAGAACGTTACGCGGTAATCCCAGAAAAACGTGGTGGTGCCGGCTGTGGCTCCGACCCAAAAGACCGCGACAACCGCATACGTTCGCTTCATCGTCACAACTTGCCTATATCTTAGACCCAGCACAAGTGCGAGGAGACGATCGACGCTTATTGCAGTCAAGGTACACAAAGATACCGAGATTAAAGTGTAGCCAGCTCCCAAAGACATCAACGTGTACCTACAAATTTCCCGTCGTCCGTGCAGGAACGAGATCCAAAACGCAACTGTTAAAGGCTCTGCAATGAGTCCAGCGCAGAGATCGGCTGTGGCTAGACAGCGAAATAAAAGTTTGGACGGTGAATGAAGGGATGATTCCCTATTAAGAGCAAATAGTATTATAGTGTTCCCTAGAACTGCGGTAACAGATAGTAATGCATTTATAACTGAAAGACAGGTCAACTGAAAGTGAAGTCTACTTGTTAAACCCGCTGAGCAAAGAAACCCTGGTAATGCCTGCATTTCATCCTCTGTAAAATTTTCTGTTTCCATCTGCCTTCAACACTGACAGAACTAAATGTATAACGTTTCGCGCCATTATACTGATCAGAACATAGCTTCGTGCACCAGCTTTGTAACTCTTTGTCCGTTATGGAAATATCGGTAACATGAAACCAACTTCCTCAAATTAACTTGAGTGCTGTTTACATTAACGTCAATATTAGTGGTTTTCACTGTCAAGCCATCAAAAATAAAAATAGAAACCTTTTAATAAAGAAAGTCTAGAATCTGGGAAATGAAAGAAGATAAACATAAAAAAAGCCTTGCTAAGAATAAGGTCTGTGCGATATTTTATATGCGAGACATTCAGAAAAACGTTTTACCCACTGCAGATTTATAAAGCTTTGTATGGAGACGTCATGTTTGTGTCTCTTTCAGGGGGACAAATATGGCGGCCAGAAACCAATAGAAACATCTGTTTTTGAATTTTCCTACTAATGTGTGAATTCATGTGTGAACTCATAAAGATTAAAGTAATATTTATTCTGAGACAAGGAATGTTTAGATAGCAAAATCTCCCAAAATCGGTAATGTTTTTAACCCACATAAGAGCTTTCCTGGCCGTCAGCTAAATGCCGCGTCACGCAAAGGCCTGGAAATTCAAGCGTCCTGTATCGCAAAAGAAAAAAAGAAGAATCATTTTGAACCAAAGATTTGTTTCTATAAAGGTTTTAAGGTGCTGTAATACCACATGAAAGTAGAAACTCAAACCAAGCGATTGTTTCTTAGCTTGAATTTTGGTGACGTCAAGTGAAAACCAAGAATTACTGTGGAAAGATGAATCAAGCGAAAAGGCTGTCTTTCAATGACAATAATTCACAAGCTTCTATTTAATTTTAATTATCATCGTGTCAGCTGTGTGACTTAAACGTTTTAGGAAATGAGATGTCCTAGTTTTTAGTTAATATTCCTGATCCACTTTTTGTTTTGTTCGGTGTGATTCTAGCGTTCTTCGTAGACCTTTGTCAGGTTTGTCGGCGATTGATACGAAAACGAATATGCCCATTTTTAAAAACCAGGTGCCCTCAGTATCGTCATTATGCTCTATACTGGAGAAAAAGTCCATACAGGCGAAAAAATGTATATCATTCTATTACTACTATGTAAATAAGAATGCGAAAGGAAAAGACTGACTTGTTTATTTTTCTACTATGATCACCTGTCCGACATACAATTTAAAAGCCAATATCTGATGCTGCAGTTAAAACGTGCACGTCAGTGTACTGAAACTTCCGCATATTCAAAGTAAATATGTTATGCTTTTTGGAGGATATCAGCGTAAAAGGAAATCATGATATTAAATTTCGTCGTTATTCCAGGTGCTGTTATGTTGGGCGTCCAAAAACTGAGGAAATAATTCTAAGCTGTAAAATAAAGCCAACTTAAAGCCAGCGACATAGTATAAAAACCCATGTTTTAAAAATTCAGCTTATGCATTTTTTCAAGGCACACTCTTGCAAGATTTCGTCTTAAAATAATTTTTTCAGACTGATGTGGAAAGTCTGATAGTTTGAGTGTCCAAGTTGACGTTAAACGTTAGAAGCGTTTAAGTCCCGAGAGTGACCAAATCAATTTTCTCATAACAAAATTCATGCATAGAGGCAAAATGTTATCACCTAAGAGAAAATTCTCTTTAATTATCTTCATGAACGTCTCCCAACTTATTCTTTAAAGAAGTGAATCAAGATTTAGTCTGGAGAATTTTTATGTAGATGTATAATGCTTAAAGGGTAAAATGCCGTGCAGCTGTATACAC